TTTAATGTGTTCCCCCATGGTAGGAAGGAAAAGAGTGAATAGGTTCGATCCGTTTGTCATTATTTAAAATTTTAAACATTGTAGTTAAATCTCCTCTCTGCCTACGGTATGACAGGGAGAAGTGATTTAAACTGTCTAGTCTTTCCTCGTATGATAAATTTGTCTTGCTTTCTTTTGGACCATTTTAGAATAAAGTGGTGAACATATCGCCGGTGGTTCTAGTAAAGGCTGCGTGAATTTTCCATAAAGATCTGAAACTACGCGAAGCCATCACGCGACAGTGTGCTGTAGTTTTTAAATCGTGACCTACAATGACATCTAAATCCAAATGAGTCTTAACTGATAGGAGTGTTACTCCCACTAGTTCGTAGGAGCTGATGCTTGCGTATCTGATGCGCATGGTCGCACGTTTCGCCACATTGATCGGGAGCACCCACACTCTGGACGACTTTGACAGCTTATTGAGGTCTATTTGCAACATGAGCATATCACTGTCGCCCTTCAGCTCCTTCCAGATTTTTAAGTCATCGGCGAGCAGAGATTGATTTACAAAATAAATAGGAGAGGTCTGAGTACTGTGCCTTGTGGCACTCCTCTACGCACTGCTGTCCAGAAGGAGAGTTTCGAGTCAATCCTAACCCCCTGCCTCCTATCAATGAGGAATTCTCTAATCCACTTTAGTAATCTGCTGTTGATACCAAGACTTTCCAACTTCATGAGACGTCTTTTGCGAGGAACTTTATCGAAGGCTTTGCTGAAGTTCAAATGAACTGTCGTCAAGATTTAACAGAATAATTCTAAAATATTTGGGCACCGTGTGAGAAGTAGACATTTGTAAAATCTCAGCGAGATTGAAATGAGTAATTCCAACGTTTCGTTCGGCAATCTGGTCCGTACTTCTTCAGGGAAATTAATCGAAATCAACATAACAGAGGTTTATATATAAAAGGGACATCACTTGTTTTTAAAGACTCTGTCCAATCATGAGTCATTCAACAAGTATCAGCAAGTATAATAGACAAACTTTTATTAGCTGTGATCAAAATTAGAATGCATATTCTAAATCCGTAGATGTCGAGTCACCTGACAACTCCAGTAGGTTAAATAAGGCAGCTCAATCTTCAGAAAGAAAACAAAGCAATAAGTCCAACAGGGTGCTTCTACTAAACTCTAATCCTAAACACCTTAATTTTGAAAATACGTCTAATCATAAAATTCCAGATACTAACAGTTTGAACAGACATGAGGGCGTGATGTTAGCTGATGCATATGAAATCCTTATTAATAAATAAAATAAATGGATATGTATCACCAATTATTAATACTTGGTCAAAATTCTCGACTGTCCATATCTTCGTACGGAGACGTTAAGAAATGTTTCACAACTGTTTACCCACACACACATACACACCCTGCTTAAAGTGTTTAACAAAGGTAGACCAATATTTGTAAGTCCGAGGTCAAATTTTGATCACAGCCCACAAAATTTTGTCTATTATACTTGCTGATACTTGTTGAATGACTCATGATTGGACAGAGTCTTTAAAAGCAAGTGATGTCCCTTTTATATATAAACCTCTGTTATGTTGATTTCGATTAATTTCCATGAAGAAGTACGGACCAGATTGCCGAACGAAACGTTGGAATTACTCATTTCAATCTCGCTGAGACTTTACAAATATAATTTTTTACAAATGTCTTTGCTGAAGTCTATGAAGACGACGCCCCTTGATTTGACTCAGCTTTGTCTTGCCCTAAGAAGATCGACATTCGAGAGAGTTTTTCTCGGAAGCCATGCTGTGCTCTGGATAACAAGCAGCTGTTTTCCAGATATGCCATGAGACTTTCCTTGATGATTCTTTGCAGTGTCTTGATTAAAGTGCTGGTGAGGCTTATTGGCCTGTAGTTTGGAGGACCAAGTCTTGGTCCTCCTTTGTAGACGGGAGTTTATGTGGGGTCTTCCCAGTCACGCAGTAACACTCTATTTAGGGGGGAGAGCTTGAATATCGCAGTCAGTGGGCCGGCTATGTGAGCTGATAGCTACTTGAGAAGCCTTGGATGAAGATTATCAGAATCCGTTGATCTCCCTGCATCCAGTTTTATCAGGCAGTTGAGCATGGTGTCTTGGTCTTCGTCAACGGAATCTATCCTGTGTTACTCTCAAGCAGCCAGAGCTGATTAGGGGATGCAGCCTTTTATTGATTTTCTTCGATTGTGTGACTGTCAATAGTCAGGTTTGGGATGCCACTGGATATCTTATCCTTGAAGTTCATATACGAGAAAATTTTCTTAGGTTGTGCCTTTGAATTTTCAGCCAGATGTGCTTCGAACTTCATTTCTGATTGACGGATTTCTGCAATAGCTTTATTCGTAGTGGTGTTGTATGATTTTCTGGTCTCAGGAGTCTCAGATGTGGTAAACAGGTTCTGGCATTTGCGTTTACGTCTGAGTAATTTTCGGATCTCTCGGTTTATCCAAGGGGGACAGTGTTTCCGACCATTTGAGACAGACCAAGGTATGTGCTTCGGGGGCACAGTGGTTAGGACTCTCGCCGACCATGCACATGGTCTGGGGTTCGATCCTTTGCCAACGCACACATGATATCAATTGTCGGCCTGCAGAATTTGGGCTACCGATATCACATGCTGAAGATTCCATACTTGTACTGCAAATACGGTGTGGAATCAAGCGGTAATCAAAAAAGTTCAGTTACCTGGGTATAAAGTTGTTTGAATTGGTTCCAAGCGGCTTCTAATTGGGACTCTGGGTTGATGAACTAGTCCATTGAGTTTGCCGCTGGGACGATCGCATTTATGTCAGCTTTCCAAACGCTTGGTCGAGCTGACGTTTCGGCCCTTGATGCAGTTGCTGTGAACTTGAAAGTGAGCACAGCGTTATCACTTCTTCCTAAAGCAGGAAGATGTTTTATGAGATCCACATCCTCACCATGGGAGAACACCAGGTCCGGAGTTGAAGAGGAGTGTTGTGAGTGATAGCGTGTGGGCTTTATGTCATAGATAAGGGCTAGTGAAATGTTGGATTCCAGCAGTTTATAATTTGAAGACGGAGTCGTAAGGCATGTCCAGTCAACTGTTGGGGCGTTGGAGTCGCCGACTACGAGACTTCGACATTTCGAAGTCCAGAAGCCTAGCTTCAGTATTAAGAATTCGTCGTCACAGCAGTCAGGACCGCTGTACATAGCAATGAGGTCAATGTATCGGCCCATGCATTTCTGTCTGCAGCGTAGAAGTTCGCACGATTCATTTTCGTATATGAGAGCTTCAATGCCACACACAGCTTAGCATTTCTTGAGGTAGATGACTACGCCACCTCCTCTGCGGCTTAGTCAGTCCCCCCCATGCACTATGAAGTTTGCCAAGTTAACATCATTGTCGGTGACATCGGATGTGAGCCATGTCTCTGTGATGATAATTACATCGGATTTCTGGAGTCTGTTATATCACCCAGCTCAGTCCATTTGTTTAGCAGGCTGCGAGTGTTTGTGTAGCAAACTGTCAATTCAGTTTAGTATTTCCACGACTTACACACAGAGTTTTCAGGGTCATGAAATTTCGAACTTTGATAACCCGAAAACCCTTAATCTTAGGGATTTTCTCGCTGTTCGCTTAGTTCTAGAGCAAAAGACTGTCTTTTGACGCGGTCTGCTAGGTATAAGTCCGCACGGACGTATAGGCCTTCGTTAGGAGTTCGGGAGTTTCCTAGTATAGCGTCAAACTCTTCTTTTTAGTTTAGTACGCCCTTGAGGAGGCGTACTGGCTGATTAACTGTAGTGTCGGCTTTTTGGCTGATTCTATACAAGCTGTGCATAGTTACTCCCGATTCTGTTGTTGGCAGTAGCTTATATAAAAGAGGCCTGACCAAGTCAAGGTCATGTTCAGACCTGACTTTGGGGTCGTAAACCGGTGATTCTTCAACCCAGCGGAGAATGAGCGACCTGTCGGAGAGATTAGGCTTGCTTGCAGTGGCTTTCTTGCTCTTCGGTGTTGGTGTGGCCTTTGTGTTGTCCTTATGTCGCTTTTTGCTGGAGACTTTGTCACGCCATTCATCTGCTCCCTCTTCGCTATCTGTGATTGATTGTGTATGCTTGCTAAAACCTGTGTGAGTGAGGCTCGATCTACAAGTATCTAAGCGACTTAAGTCTCGGGTTTTGATCCGTGGTATGCCTTTTCCTCGTGTCACTCTTTCCATTACTGTCAGTGAAAGGCCTTATCGGCTGTCGTAGGGGCAGAATGGGTATCCGGACTATGGTGGGTGCTTTTCCTGCTCACTTCCTGATAGAGATGCGTCAGGAACCTGTATTTTATTGTTGATGATGCTGGCCGTCAGTGTCTGAGCGGCAGTAGCTCCTCTTCTGTGGTGGGCTACACTGAGAGTGGTAGTGGCCTATGTAATACGAAACTTAGTCGTGCTTAAGCAGTAATTGCTCAGCAAGTTGTATTCTGGAGGAGTTAGGTTCGTGTGAATACTACGAAACCATCTCTTGCAGCCATCATACTGCATTTCTTATCCACAGCGGTTCCTCTTGATAGGCATACTTTTCAGAGTGAATTGTGACTAGAAGTACACATCAAAAGTCGAAATTAAACAAGAGCGTGTAATTCACGCTGAATTCTAGCGTTGTCATCTCTTGATATAGGGCTGCTGTCCTCAATGCCTTCGATGAGCATCCACTCCAGTATGACATAGTGGACCCCACTGGTTACGCTACCCCATGGCAGCTTCAGGAAATCAGTCCAACAGCCGTCAGTGGTCTGGAGACTGATATTGAGGTTACTGGATCTGTGTATTCGTAATGAAAGTTCAGTGGTTGAAATTAATCCAAAATTCCCACAAATCCAATACTCTGACTTGATGGAACATTCGACAGCTACCTTTTGTAGGTCAAGATTGGCGGACGCTTCGTAAATTCTGCAACTGGATTTTACGTGGCTAATAGTTACCGTAAATTCGCATGTTCAGAGAAGTTAGAGTAGTGAGAAATGGCACCTTCAAACACCTTGTGTATGATACAGTCCGAGGTGTCCCTTATGCTTACTGCACTTCGATGCAGTCATAGGAATTCTTTCAGGGTGTATCAGGTGTGTTGTAATGATTCTAACCTTGAGGATTCTTTTCTCAGGATGACAGCAAAAAGCCACTATTGCTAAGTTTCGGTCAGCTGAGATCTATTTTAAATGTAGCGACAAGTAAGTTTAGCTTTTTGGAAAGATAATTACCGATATTTTTTATTCGTCGTTATACCCAGTCAGACTAAAATGGATAAGAATGGTTAAATAGTGGGGATTTGGTGAAAGTTGTGAAACATTAAGCAAGTCTCGGCCGAATAATGGTAATAGTTGCGAAAGTTTTGGTCAAAATAGTCGGAATCTTGCTATATAACTAAAATTCTCCCACTTTCTTACTGTTAGTCGTGCCCTTTTATTTTCACATTGTTTCTCCGTTTTTACCATTTTTGTCTGACTGGGTATATGTTGCGTATATGGAAGAGAAGTGACTGAAGCCAATGTGGAGCCATTTGTAACACTTGCGTTTGTGAAGTTTTACAATAATTCCTAACTTTAGTCAATTATACGGAGTCTGCACAGATGCGTAGCTGCGCAAATGTCTGTCCTTGATGGATATTAACCTTAGCCACTACCAAATGATTTCTAGTAAACATTCACGTCACTAGTCGTGAACGTAGTGTAAGCTTTTTGCTTCAATATGTTTCTGCCGATTTGACTTATCACCTCTTAATGTATAGGTTTAAAGTTAACGGTGAGATTAGTTTAAGCAGTTTGGGGTAGAGTTAAGAGTAGGTTTAAGGGTTAGATTAGGGTAAGGAGTTAGGGTTAAGGACCAGGTTAGAGTAAGCAGTTACGTTTAGGATGGGGCGTAAGGCCAACACCAAATCGTCCCTTTCGCTCTGTTTCTGAAGTTCAAACGAAGTAAAGTATAAGTTCTATCAAGATTTGTTCAATTTTCCTCTAAAGGCAAAGTGTATTAAAAGTGGTCATACTACTAAGTGGTTTTAAAGAGGATAATTGAGTAAGTTAAAGCTCATTAGGTGCCTACGTTGGCGACTAATAAAAGGTTATCATTTCTAAATCATGTAGGCTGAAACCGTTTATTCGCGTTCCTGTGCACCTGAAACAAGTTGAACTGAGAAAGGAAGCAGATGTAAATCTATACATTGGTGGAAAATTTACGTCTGTATTAACTGATGAGCATTTTTGTGGTTCTCATCATGGAAATACCTCGGTACCATTTCCATTGATTTTGACATGCAGCTCCAAAGAGATTTGCTAACTTTCAGTCAATGATCAGCTTTGGCTAGTCAATCTATGTGGTCTCTTCTAAACTACTGGTCGCGATGACACCGCTTCTCATTTTTCTCATAGAAATAGAATGACTAGAATTTTTCCAGTGGTCGCCAGTAGTAATTGATGGATAAAATCGAGATGGGAATGACATTAGCACTGCCTAAACTAGGCGTAAATTACGAAAAATGATCCTATAAAATTTGCAGTAAATCAAACGGTCGTCGAGAAAGATAAAACCGTAATCATTCAAGAAAGATTGCTGGAAATTTTAGACAAAACACTTCAAACAGTCTACCGGGTATGCAGCTGCTTTACACTTGCCGAAAATCCAGCGCTAGTCTGATTAGGGAAAAAGGTCTGTCGATGGTTTAAGCCCAAGACGAAGCAAAGGAGGGAGACACTAAGCCTAACCTAATATGTCCTCAAGAATAGAGGTAGGGTATTATTGACTAGAATAACCAGCGTATGGATTAATCTATGTGTATCTGTAAGTTCAACCGAAAACTGGTGTGATTTACCAAAATAAGAACTGATCATATAGTAGTAATCAGCTGGTTTCCATGACCGTTTATTCCGGCAATTGCTATATTTCCCTTCCTGAATGCGTTATTCAACTTCATCGATTTGAGGTGAGGATATTGTAATCCGCATTTAACTCATTATTCACTTGTCTGGTAAAAAAAGTGGTTGGTGTACCCCTTGCTGATCATGTAGGAGTCGTCTGAAAAATATAAATGACTCGAGGTCCTTGGTGGTTTTTCTTCTGGTGAATATTATGATTATTTCAGCAGCAGTATATTTTCTGTAGTCTGTTAAAGTGTTTATTAGGAGGTTTCGCATCAGCTTTGTGTATTTTGTTGTTATCACCTTGTTTACTTTTTATAGGCGTAAATGAACTAGAACCATTGGTATATCTTACCCCATTTCTTGAGGTTATTCGTTCAGAGGATACAACTGGCCCAGTTACGGGTTTAGCATTAACTGCTGTGGACAAATTTTTGTCGTATGGACTTTTGGAATTACCTTCGGGAAAACCAGACGAATTACCTTTGTCTGGGCCTGGATCGTTAAGTTCTGTCGCCATGGCAGTAGAAGCAATTGCTGATGCTAGTACTCAAGCTCGTTTTGTAGGAACAGATCCACGTTCAGCAGAGGTTAGTTTTGTAGGCCTGTTATAAAGCTTTCATTAAATTCCTAATTTTGTCTTGTTTATTCTGTATTATGTGTAAGGTTTTGAAGTAGTTTGAAGAGAGTTCCTCAGTTTCCGTAATAATGATACAGAAATATAAATTTCAAAACTGCTAGTTATTTTTCTTGCGTATATGTGAGGATCATTTGAAGGTTACAGTTTTACATTTATATTAATGTACTGTAGATTGGTGAGTCAAAGGTCTTTTAAATTCATCTAGTGGATGCAAATATAATCCAAAATCAGTGTTCATTGCCTGAGACATTGACGTATTTTCAGTCAGTCAAAATCACATTGCCAACTAATCTCAGGGCACATATGAAGTTTGATTCCTATGAGGAAATAAATCGCTTTGAATTGCTGTTTTCATCTGTTTAGTTTTAAATTTGTCTAAGATCACAAGAGTGAATTTGGTGTTCAGCTTCCATTGAGTTGTCATGCCGAGACTTACTTGTTAGTGCTGTGTGATACTCGTATTCTTGTAATTTGAAATGGCTTTCTACTCTGTTAATTGAATAATTTAAGCATAATTAGGCTGGGTGTGTTTATATCTGAGTCAACAGACCATCCAACTCACGGAAAACAACTGTACCAGTGTCATCCAATTGAGCCACAAATTTGTTCCATTTTAATTAGGCTTACTAGACAGTTAGAGAAGATAAGAAAGCTGTTTCATGATATTTGTCTGTGTCATCGTTTGCCTTTTCTCTAGTTAATAAAGTCACATGCAATTTCAATCATGGAAAGTAAATCAGTAGACTATGGAAAACGTTCCTGGTAATCTGTAGTGAAGTTCTGAAACTTTTGTTCTAGAAAGTCCAGGTATTAATTACCAAGCCAAGGAACAAATTGATGAAGCGAAATTGCCGATTTTGAATGCTAGTTGTATTTTTCTGAACAATGCAGAACTTTACATCATCTACCAATAAGTTAAACAATTCGTACAACTTTTTCCCATGATAAAGGTGAATAAAGTAACAACAACAGATTAGGCAGGATAGTATGATATTATTTTGTTTAGTTATTTCCTATCAATTAAAAACAATATAAAACATGTTTGAAATCAATCTACGAAACATTCATAGCGTAGTTAGTAAGCATGAAGATGAAAGCCATTAATATTGCATAGTGGAAACGATAAAATATGTTATTAGGCCTCGTAGTATATCTGGGAAAAATTAAAATATTATAGAGTTACAAACGAAAGTTGAAAATTGATTAGAGGTGCAAAATGGACAACGCATGTGTCATAATGGTTAAGTTATTTACTTCAGTAGGAGTCAGAAAAATAATCAAATCAAAAGTATGGAGAAAGATAAAATCAAGGGTATGATTACCTTTAATTAAAATAAAATAAATAATGGAATTAAAATAACTTGGAGTGTATTCAACATGGTAGGGTAAGATTCACACAGTTTTCTTCTACATGCACAAGTTCGGTGTTAATGGTTTCTCCGATACATGGTAATTTGAAACTGGCCTAAACTATTTCAAATAATTTTAAAATGTCAATTTTTATGACATCAGTTTCATCTGTCAAGCAGTCGTACTGCTGAAGATTTTCACACCTTTCGGTCAACAACCATTCTTTCTGTTCGTCCGATTTATGTACTTTGGCACGTAGATAAAAATTGGTAGATGCATTTTGAGGTAATATGATCAATTGACATTAGATTGTGTGCATGAGCAAATTGTTCTGTAAAGTGTGACCAGTTGAACCTCTGGATGACTTGTTAATCTCATCGTCAAGTGTGATGAAACTGTTTCATATGAATGCTATTATGCAGTATCTAGCGAGGAATAAAAAAGCACAGTTGGTTAGTCGGGGTTTAGAAAAGTAAAATATGCAATATCAGGTAAAACCTAAGGGTGTAAAACTACAAACTTATATTGAGATCATAAGGAAATACTGGATTACTGAAGAAAAGTGTTGCTTGAAGTCAGTAATTTATTATGAGGTTTCATTGCTTTCTGTCCATTAATAGTAGTTTCTACGTATAAACATTATTTGCTGCCTTTAACTGGCTGATTAACCGAAGTTCAGCAGTTCAAGATGCCACATCCCATGTAGCACAAAAAGGTAGAGAAAAAAGGGATTCGGAAAATCTATAATGAATACAAATGTGTGAGGGAATGTAAAGTAACATGAAAGAACATGAAAGTTTAATGGATATGGCTGCTTAAAAGTATGAATCCATCGGCACCACTGAGAACGGTTGTAAGACATATCACCAGCAGTTTCAAACATTGGATTCTGGCATCCCGAGGACCCCGATTGGGTTGTCTACGCCTTACTATGTAGCTGGTTGAAGTCAGCTACCAAAGATTTCATGTATTGGTTACAGGTTTTGGTTTGACCACCCTTAACGTTTTTCTAACTTAATCTTATGCCAGCTAACATTACAGGGCGAATTGCTGCTCAAAACACACTCCCTTTCATAGATAAGCCAGATATCATGATAAATAAGAGGGAGAGAAAAGCTTTCACGTTTCATTCCCCAGGCCTATTATTAAATTGTAAATAAAAACAACGACAAACGTTTATTGCTGTTTTTCTTAACATAAATTAATCTTTTTTCCTCTGTGTTAACTCATCTGTAGGTTGTATTAATGAAAGTTTTGCATTTGCTACGAACACTGTTGCTTGTACCCGCTGGCACGCTTGTTTCAGATCGAGCTGTTCGAGAAATTTTACAGAGTTGTTTTCGTATATGTTTTGAGCCGAAATTGAGTGAATTACTTAGAAGAACTGCTGAATTGTGTTTAGCATCTATGATTCAATTATTTTTCAGTCGGTTACCAACTTTGGCTGGATTCAAAATAGACCGAAATATACAACAATCAGTAAGCTTATTTGTGTGTGTGTATGTGTGTAGCGAGAGAAAACAAACAATGTATGAATTAAACTTATTATTGTCTTTGTGAGATTCTCTGTAGTTCAGGTATTATTTGTGTTGTTCGGTAGTTATTTGACGAATTCAGTGTTCATTTTCCCAGATAATTACTGAAAATCGCCACTCCATCTGGTGTTATATATTATATTATTAGTGGTAATGTTCATTGTACGGCATGCTACCAAATACCGACATGAAGGTTAGTGTAATTAACTATAATTCATGTATGTTACACGAGGGATGATGTCATCTGCATTCCTATATCTTTATTAGTGTAGCGGGGTTGGAACAAATGTTTCACTATTTGGAAATTCAGTAACAAATCCAACTTGCAGATGGTGCATGAAAATCATAGTAATAATAATTTCTGTATAAACTACTTTCACATTAAATCATTAGCTAAATTGGCACTATACAGTTGATTTTCAGTCAGTTGATCCACTGGTTTTAGTGCAACTTTGTCTACCGTTCTTTTTTGTTACTTAAGTTTCCCATAGTAGATCTCGCTTACCTTCTAAACCACAAACTTGCTCTCAATAACCGTACTGCTTTCTTATTTCTTGTATGGTTTACTTTGGGTCTTTTCTAAAACAGGTCAATTCGTGTTCTGACATTGAAACAACGGTAATGGATAAACAGCCTTCACAAATTGCTATGTCCGGTGGAACTAATCAAACTTCTATGGAGTGTTCTGATGATAGTAATGAAGCTACTCTCATAGTAAAAAATGAAGCAGTAAATGAAGAAATTCCTTGTGAAATGTCAGTCTGTCCTAATGATGATGATCTAGGCAATTCCCAAACTGCTTGTAGTGAGTTGTTTATTCCTAATGTCTTATTTTGCATTTTTTTCTCTAAATTCATTTTGTCCATTCATATTGAGAAGTCATATTATCTATTCAAGTCTAGCTGAATGAAATGAATGATAGAACAAATCAATGAAGTGTTTTAAGACTAAGGTAGGATTAGATTGTAGAATGAAGTTAAAAGAAAAAGTGCATTCGATTGACAAAATGTAGGTAGCATAGAAATATCTTTGTTTAAATGCTCCTAAAGAGTTGGTCGGCATCAATACCCCAGCGAAGTGATTTTCCCTCACTGATCACTTCACTTTTTGCAGATTGGTTAGTCAAAAGATTTTTACCATATGACACTTTGAACTGGTGCATTGATTTGTCTTAAAGTTTTTTTGCATTCTCCGTTGCAAATCAGTTGACGTGTAAGCATCTTCATTTAGGTGTTGCATTAAGTTAATAAAAGTTTACGGCAGTCCGTAGTTTTAAAGCCAGAATAGATGGAGATGGATTAGGCGTAATTTGGCGAAACCGTTGAATGATATTGCGCTGTAGGCCGTGGAGGCGAACGCGAATAGGAAACGGAGAGCTGGGCGTCGGAGGGTGACATGGATGCGATCATGTGATGAGAAAATCAAACCTTATGGTGGAACATTGAGCTAGCTAAGGTAAGCTGCAGAGCACACAAAGTGAAATGGAGATGCGTCGTCGAAACACTACGTTGTACTAGAAATCTAAGGGGATAATAATAAACAAAGTAATTTTTGCATTTATCAACCCACACCACACCACTGAAAATCAGTATAATGTCTGAGTACATGTCCTGTAAAGTTGACCGATTTATGGTAGGTTTCAGGTATGTAGTGAACCAGTCTCTTGAGACTATTAGTGATATGGCTCAAAATAGTTCTCAGCAGTACCGTTAAATATACCTTAGTTTCTGGTTTTTGAGTCATTAATGCAGATAGTCGATTGGAGTTTGGAAGCTTGATCAATATGCCGAAAATTTCGACAGCTTCAAAGAGAGCCACCACTGTACACATAAAAGTTGTGAATCCTAATAGCATGCATAGACACACATAGGGTTATTATGTCTCTAACTAATTATTATCTATTGCACATGTGTTATGGGATTGGTTTTGAGAATATTTAATATCACTTACCTTAGCTCAATTGTACACATCTCTGAATAACTGATTGATCCTTATCTCTTTTCATAAATTAGATTTTTCTCATAATTTAGGCGATCCAAAAAGTGGTTCCAACCACTCAGCCGATTCAAATCAAATAGAATTTGTCGACCACGATAAAGCTGCCTCAGCATTTGACTTTGGTGTTCATCAATCATCTGATCCGATTGCTACTCAATGTGCACAGTCACTGTCTGCTGTTAGCCCAAATGATGAAAATAATACTAATAAATTAGTAAGTATACGGTATAAACAAGATTAATTGAGGTTTTTGTATATCCCAGTGAATGAAAAACAACAATATAGTTTTGTTTTTCATTTTCATTTTCATATACCCAATGCCCAAATTTTTTCAAACTGTTAAAAGTGAACTTGCTTTGGACATATATAAGATGATCCTTACAAACCAATACTTGAATATCAATGAGATGCTCACTGGCGACTGGCCCTATTCAGGTAGGTAGTTACCTGGGGTTCCAGTGTGAAGTCGTGACCAGTAGGGTGCTGCAGGTCGGGTGTGAGGACAATTACTCGCCGAAGACATTGGCTAGCGGTTGCGCTATATCGTGAATTGGAAACGTAAAGGAATTTAAAAGTTCTCTATCGCATACAAAGTGAATGTACATCTTTTTTTTCTGAATGCGTACATAAGTTTTTGCTTATAGACCTTCATAGTTCTGTAACTAAAAACCCTTTCTCGTGACACTTGGTAGATTACAGTAAACAATGGAGGTATCACTTAGAAGCTTGATGTAAGATTTTCCGATGTTCTGGCGTCCTTGCGATTCTAAGAACCAATGTCTGGAGAATATTGGTGATATGGCTCAAAGTAGTTATCAGCAATGGCGGAGATGCATTCATTCATCGTGATCGTCCATATTCACTAAACCGTCCTGTGTATTTGCTATTCTTTCTCCCGTGCATTTCTGCTTATTTTGGTTCTTTTGAATCTCCTTATTTTGTCCCTTTAGTCTACCTTTGTGTGCTACATGACTAACTGGTTTCAGCATAGAACTTTGCATAGATGTGCACCAGTTAAAGTTGCCACACTTCATGTTGCACGCAGAGCAAGAGAAGAGAGTAGAGAGACGTTCAAAAGACAGATGATAAATAGAATTGTGAGGCAAAAAGAATAGTAATATGGAAGAACAGTAGAGTTTTATTGGATATGATGAGTCCCAAAAAACGAATGCGTGTGCGGCAGCCATTGAGAACGATTTGAGTCAAATCACTAATTGTCTGCAGCGTCCATTGGTTTTTACTATCCCCAGGACACCATTTAGTCAGGAAGACTACACCTCCCTACGTGTCTGAAATTCATCCTATTACATCACTTAACTTGGTAGATAGAACTCAGACACCTATAATAAAAGTCAGCTAGCCTTTTCATGTCTTCCACTCTCAATGGCCAGGTCTCACAGCCATAGAGGAGGACAAAGCGGACTGCTGAGCAGTACACACATCCCTTGGTCGATAGTCAGCCGGTTATCACGTCTATGCCGGAGACATGGCGTAAACTGGCATATGCGAAACTAGCCTTCTGTATCCGTGCTGGGATTTCGTCGGTAATCAACCCGCTGGCGTTGGCTGATGCGACTTCCCAAATAAGTGAAGTGGTCAACGTGCTCTATCACTTCACTCCCTATTTCTAAGCTAGGAGTCAGTGTAGTCCACTCCTGTAACATCATCTTACATTTGGCGGGAGCGAATCGCATGCCAAACATTCGTAGATTGCAACTCAAGGTGTTTAGAAGACTCTACTGGATTCTGTCAGCGTCTTCACGTAGAAGTATTACATCATCCTCATACTGTGAGTCAACGAGACTATTCCCTGGTAGCCAGTCAATCCCTGAGTCGCTGAAGTCAGTAAATGTTGTGCACTACATGGAGTGGTGTGGCAGCTTAAACTAATGCACTTCTGTGCAACATTTTATTTTGAAATTCGGTTGATCATTTTAGATATGCAAGGTTTATTACTGCAATCATGTTGCACGTAGTTACTTTTTATACCAACAGTGCTGGTAAGTGTGCACCAGCACTAGTGAATAAAGATTAGTGATTACTTTTTGAGCATAATCAGCTGAATGCATTAATATGTATAAGAGAAGTTATGATCCATAGTTTTTGTCTTGATACCTTGAAAACCGGATGGTCAATGCATTTGCATTCAATGTTTCTTCCATATATGCGTGTTTATCTGGTGATTTGGATTTTCAGATGAGGTTAGTGTCTCTGAAATTTGCTGAGATTTGTAGTTCATTGGCTTAAATATTGGAATTTCAGTCAATATGCGGTCCCTGGTTCAGATTCCAGTCCCATTTACTTCAGCCTGGTCAGCTTTCACACAATAATTGTGGCTTATAGTCTAGTGAATGATTAATCTCTTCCGGTTTACTGAGTTTATAACTAACTTAAAATTTGTCTTAATCTAGCAATAACATAGAAATATGCTTTCTTTTCTATTCACTTCAGACTGTGCCATCGACACAATCAGATACATATTTGGATGAATATCAACCTGTTGGTATGTTTATCTGTAATCACAAACTAATCATATTGTTGTACAGGTTATTAGTTGGAATTGTCTGTTCATATTTTCTTTGATTGGCATAAGCTTAGCTTGTATAGCTAACTGTGAATACTTCTTACTAATGCTGGTAGAATACGAAGTGAGCGAATGCTTTTTGCATACTGAATCGTCGTATTTCACTGAGGGAATGAAATTACAAAACTATCCTTCAGTCTTTTCTGCCTCTGTAAGTTCAATGGTGCAACACTTCACAAAATTGCGTATAAGGGTAGCCGTGACACTAGCCAATGGTTATTCATATAAAGGCTGTTGATATGAGTTTCATGCCGAATCCGTTGAAATCGATGTTTTTAAGGTTCTGTTGTTTTTCAATAGACTATTTTTAACTTGTTAAGATGCATGCATCCTGAGATCAGAATTACCGGGTATCCGCTGAAGAGCAAACAGTTTTACAAAAAAAATTTTGTGATCACTGATGGTCCACCGTATATTGTGATTTTATTGAGGTCAGGTATGGTAGTCGTAACTCAGAACTACCATCATTGAAGTGTTTTAAATTGTCTACTATTGAAGAAAACAAAAGACAAATTCAGCGAAGAGAATTTTCTTTATCGTTGAAATCATCTTCAGAGGCTGTACAGTCGTATTTATATTTATCAAAAAAATGTATAGTAGTCTGTTATTAAGTAATATGGGTTGACACAGTGGTTAGGACTCTCGCCGACCACGTACATGATCCGGAGTTCGATCCCCCGCCGACGCACACCTGATATCAATGGTCGGCCTGCAGAATTTGGACTACCGATATCACATGCTGAAGATTCCATACTTGTACCAATAGTACGGTGTGGAATCAAACCATAATCAAAAAAAAATAATTACTCAGAAGTGGCTTTAGAAGTAAAAAATAAAAGTTTTGAATTACGTAGTACTCAACGGTACAAAGGAAGGAAGGATTAGAAATTTGATAAGGTTAAATTGTTATTAGGTGAGAAGAAAGGTAGTTTAGTGTTCACTTGACAAGTGTTAAGAGGGTGAGAAAATGTACAAAAGCAACATGTGAGAGTGGTAATAGTGATTTAATTATTAAAGTAAAATCAAAGTAATCATTAAAAATATACAGGAAACGACTAATGAAGAGGTTAAGACCATGGTAGAATAAGAGACTGGACAAACTTCCGTATACAGAGTTCGGGGTTGTATTGACGCCTCCACCATACATAAATGCCGAAACCTGACGCCCTTTGTACCATTTGGCTTCATCTGGTAGATAATTTTGAAAGACTACTCTGGTGGAGCTACGTGGCTTGAGTTCACCAAGTGTTCGAGAATTAAGCTGGTAACTGTCTTGTATTGTCCTTTTGCTAACCTTGTCGGATAATGTTTAGAGATGCGTTTGGAAAGTGTGTGCGCTTTGTGCGGCCAATATAACTAGCTCCACAGGAGCAGGTGAATTTATAAACACACATTAAAGTGGCCCAAAGTGGCATTTTATCGTTCACACATCCATTGATCATTTGTCGGCTGTAGAATCTGATCCATAGCTCAGGCGCAAAGAAAGCTTTTCTCAGTGATCTGGATAAGCGGTTCTTCAGTATTTCAGCTGTGGTATCACCTTTAAATTCAGCGTTCATAAATAGCAGTTTCTTCGACACCGTCTGGGTTCTTTCAGGCTTTTGCTTTACCTTCATGAATCTTTGAGGATATCCATTTTCCATGAGGACTTGTCTGAGTCGCTCCAGTTCTCCGTCGATTGTATCACTGGTATATATCCTTCTTATTCTTGAGGGTAAAAAGTGGATCAGGTTTCTCTTTCTTTTGAAAGGGATCCAACTGTGAAAATCCGTGTATTGACCATTCTCCATATTGGTTTCCTGTAGATCGATCTTTGAAGAGAGCCGTCAAATCACGTTTTTAGAAAAACATCGAAAAAATGGAAATGTATACTGCTCCAAATTTCAATTAAAAACGTTATGCCACATCTCCATCAGTACTCACTTAAATATCCGAATATACGATCTTTGTTGCTACTTTTAATTGTGTAATCTGAAGTGTGTGTACACGTAGGGTCCTCCAGTACTTTTATGGCTAATGAATGGTTAAGTGATTAAGTGAGATTTGAGTAGCTTTTGTGTTATGGTGAGTTAAGATATCGCTACCGAAGACTTGGAGTTCAATGGTACTTGTTTCGGTTGGTAGATTAATAGTTTCATCACACGTTTCACATTTAAAGTGATCTTAGAAATAACGTCGTCGGCTTTAAAAAGAATGGTGAAGTTCAGTAACTCCGCCAGTTTCAATCAGTGTTTTGCTTTGTACAGGGTTTTCAAGATATTGACAGACTTCTGTGAGCCACTTCTGATAAATAATTTCAAAAGCAATTTAGTCCAACGAATTAAAAACAGTGCTGCTGTCAAGAAATGAATTGAAGCAACAATAAATCCAGTGGATTTCAGCCTGCGATATTTATTACATGATGTTCAAACAGTCGACAAAGAATGTACGCGTGGCGATTGTGTCCTGCAACCTGCACAAATCCAACCTGTTCTTTGCATATCAGTTTATTTTTTTAATTTTTATTTACAGCTTGATTCCACACCGTATTTTCAGTACAAGTATGGAATTTTCAGCATGGATATCGGTAGCCCAAATTCAGGCCGACCATAGATATCGGGTGTGCGCCGGCAGGGGCTCGAACCCCGGAACATGTGCATGGTCTGCGAGAGTCCTAACCACTGTGCCACCGACGCAGTTAATTAGTTACATATTTCAAAGTATGATAATAACTAGTAGCAGGCAAATAATCTCTCTGAACATCGTATTCATTGGAAGGCCTGTTCCAAGGGTTTCAGTAACGATGGTGATTTTTTTCCAGACTGATGGAACAATATGAGTCTCTTGTATTTTCTAACAGTCTCATCAGTTTCATGACGACGGTTTCATCTTCTTTAAAGTGTCTCTAAGTTGAATTGAATAGAGTCGATGCTTGTGTCACGCTTCTGCTTCGTCCTGTCGATCATCGTTAAACTAATCATTAAGTCATTGTCTTATAAGGCATAGAACAATGGCTCTGTCGGCTCTGACTTAACTGTTTTTCAAACACCTACACTCACAGTCATATATAAATATATATGTATATAAATATATCTGCATCGTTGTTTTACTGCTTAATTAAAGTTGACTGTAATTCGTACTTATTTGTTAACCTATTCCATTTTTATTCTTTGTCTATTTCTTATCCCAGATACAAGTCAACCACAACCTTATACTATTGCAGCTGTATATGATTTGTTATCCTACCTTATATATTCACTTTCCCCTGTACATAATAATGAGAGTGTGATATCTATTTCTTTGGGGCTTATTACTATTGCACTAGAAACAGGCGCTGATGCTATAGCTAACAGTCCACGATTATTACAGTTAGTTCGAGGCGATTTAACTAAATATCTAATGTTGGTAAGTTGATGTATGCATACAGCACATGCACATAATTATTTTTGTTTTTGTTTTAATTTATTTCCATATTAAAACTGTATACTGTATACTAGTTGTATGATTAAAAAAGAGAAAAATAGCACATAACATGTAGTAATTAGTCAATATCCAGTTAACTCATTAAGAAACCCTTAAAATATTCTTGCTAAATTCAATGCGATGACACCATATCTTAGAAACATGAGTTCATTTTTTTAAAACTGTACTAGGTCGAAGAAGGCGTGAAACTATGATCTGCTGATTGGTGATGATCACAATTTTGATCCGCTCCGGCTCAAAACTCAAAACTAAACTACTACGGTCGGCTTATCATAAGGATTTCTTAGGAAAATGCAGACTTCAATTTTTGAAGTGGAAACATTCACAACTCATCGTGGAGTCCTTCTGTTTAGTCGTAACATCTTAGCTCCTAACCATTTTGAGGATTGTAAGCTGAGATTTATTATTATTATTATTTCCTTTGATTCCTAGAGGAACATAGGGCTTCAGCCGCGCGTCTCCATTGCGTTCGGTTCTCTGGTAGAGTTTTCATCTGGCTCCAGGTCTGCCCACATGCTTTCATCTCCTCTTCACATGACCTCCTCCAAGTCACCCTTGGACGATCAACTCGCCGCTTCCCTTTCGGGTTCCACTCGAGGGCTTGTCTAGTGATGTCACTTGATGGTTTCCTCAGACTATGGCCTTCAATCCACCTCCATTTCTTCCTGCCTATTTGTTTCACAATCGGTTCCCTGCTGGGTTGGTTCGCTCATTGCCAGAGATCTCTGTTGCTGATCTTTTCTGACCGGCCATCTGATCTTGAGTATTGAGCGAAGACAACTGTCAATGAAGGTCTGTAGTTTGTTTGACGTGCTCTTTATGACGCGCTGGTCAAGTCTCTGATCCGTATAGTAGCACTGATTTCACATTGGAGTTGAAAATCCGGATCTTATTTTTGACGCTGAATGCTGTTGACCTCCACACAGACTTGAGAGTAATGAAGGCTTGCCCTGCTTTCCCGATCCTTGCTTTGATTTATTGATTAATGCACAGAAGTTTTAATCGATTGCCTCTAATTATCTTTCTGTCTTTCTGATAGTTTCACTGTAAAATTAAAGCATAGATTCCTCTGTTTCAATATGTTTTCAAGTATTGTTTTCCATTTCCTTTTTCTTATAGCTTTTATCTTCCGAGGATGTTTGGCAGTTCGCTGCTACCCTGCGTGTATGTTTCTTGTTGTTCGAATCTATGCGAAGTCATCTAAAACTACAAATGGAAGTAAGAGACTTGCTCATCTTTTTACGCTGCAGTTGATTTTCATGTTAGAAACATTTTCATTTAACGTTATTTTTGTGATAAATTAATTAATAACTTAATTTCATGATAATTTCTAGCACGTTGATGTCAGTTTAGAAGTGGATTAAAGGTATTTATATCTCACTCTAAAGTGTCCTTCTAATGTACTACTTATATGAATGCTTTACAATTGAATCATCAAGCTCATGGAGAACACGACAACATCAAATGCATCTACTATTTGGGTTACAAATCTTCATGATTGTTCCAATAAGTTGCATAAGATAGGGACTATAAGAGTCATTCTTTTTTCACAATTCACGTTTCTATTTGACCTGCATTACTCTTTGTTTTGCGGTCATCAATATTGGGGCATTATTACTAATGAACTACTCAACACGTTTCAGTCTGCTGAGTACACATCACTAGTCTTTATTAACTTCTAACTTTAGGTCCTCACAGCCTGTGTTTGCCCTATTTTAGTATCATTTTATTCCTCTTGAGATATGGCAATGTAAACTGATGTGTTAAGTGCCTCAGTTGATTTTTCAGTCAGTCAGCCAGCCATACAGCTGGATTACTGTTCACACATTTTCAGGTTCTTGTAATAGCCTCCAAGTATTTCTAGGATTGTTTGTAGTTTAGGGAACCATCTGATATAGTAGATAGATTCTTGAACAATACAAGTGGAGGTTTCTTGAGGAAATGTTTGTCCTCCTATGTCTGTCTAACACCCATCTGACGTGGTTTCAAAAAATGTTTCAGTCGACAGTTAAAATAGGTGTGACAGAATGAGTAAAAAAAATTGTTTGACATTTAATATATATGCAAGTCAAATTCTCAATATTTGCTTCTCTTTCTTGATTGGTTGGTAACTTTTTAGGTCTATTTACAACGTCTAACAGCAATCTGTTCATCAGATAATGAGTCAACAGGATATGAATTTCGTGAAATTGCCTTAGACTCGGTAGTTCGCCTTTTTCTTGTCCCAGGTTTAGCTACTGAACTCTATGTGAATTATGATTGTGATCCGTATTGTTCAAATTTATTTGAAGATATTACAAAGATGTTGGCAAAAAATGCCTTTCCTGTTGAACGTCTAATGGGTACACATTTATTGGCACTAGATGCATTACTTGTTGTATTGAATACAATTGAAATTCAGTGTAGTACACCATCAGTACCTGTTCAACCAGCAGCATCATCCGTCATGATGAAGACGACAACAAATCAAAACCAAACAGATAAATCAACAAATCTGTTCCGTTTTTTACCGCTTTCTGATAGTACTAACAAATGTAAATTACGCTTAAATAGACACTTTGTCGATTCAACGAAATTACCATCTCGAGAGGAATTGAATGCATCAAAAGCTAAAAAGAAGGTATGTTCACAAAATCTTCATAATATTTCAAGTATTTAACTATTTTGATCATGTATATTCCAAAGAAATTAAATATTGTATTAATGTCACAGAAAATAAAATTTTCGATTGCTAAATACAGGTATTATTTCAAGATTTCATCATGAACTGACATAGGTTAGAAAACCATTGGAAAACCTGGGGGTGTTGGACAGCCATCTCGTTCCAGTTTGGGAATTTCTAGCAGTACGTATCCATTGAGGTTCAAACCCAGGACCTTCTTGTTACAAGGCGAGCTTGTAGACTATTAGGACACTGGATCCGATCCAATGATGCATGAATTCCAACTTCTGCCAATTGACGATATGGCTTGACCACTAGAAAATCTCATCGGTGAGTATTTCTCCTCACAACCGACTTGCTGTACGCTGCTGGTCACTGGTCCTCTAACCGATGTCACTTCATGATGAAATCTTGATACCAATCAAATCCCTGCAAACTAACACTTGCATACACATATTATTATTATTGTTCCCTTGGGTTCTGAGTGGAACACAGGCCTTCATCAGCACATCTACATTTCATTCTGTTCTAAACAGTATAGACATTATCCGGCTCCACAATTCACCTTTGTCATTTCCTCCTCTTTACACAATCTCCTCCATCTCCTTCACCCTCACACCCACGTCCGACTCGTCGTTTCCCATTCGAGTTCCAATCGATAGTTTACCCGGTGCATGATGGATGTCATTCAACAGCCTCCTCGGCGTGTATCCAGTTCAACTGCATTGCTTTTCCATACTCACGTGTTGGGTGATTCGTTCCTGGTTGGTTCGTTTCCAGATCTCCTTGTCGCTTACTCTTGCCAGTCGGTCATCTGATCTTCAGTATGCAGTGAAGGTAGCCGGTGATGAAAGTCTGTAGTAGGCTGCTGGGAATGTTTTTCGTGACACGCTTACCAAGTCTCTGAATCCTTAAGAAGCATCGTCAAATGACTGACTGACTGTCTGACTTGACATTCAATGCGAATTTCCTTCATCATGCAACTGAGTGCAGTAATATCCACACTTACTTTGGATTGACGAAGGTGTGTCTTGCTTTTCCGACCTTGAGCGGATTTGACATCCTCATCCGTTCTCTGTGTAGTTGAGAGAATGCTGCTGAGATAAGTGAACGAAATAACGTTTTTCGGATTTCTGCCGTTGATAGTGACTTGTTTTCTTCTTGTTTGTTAGATATCTTAATCACCTCTGTCTGCTGGATAACAACAATATAACAATATTAAAGCTTTTTGGTGGATAGGAATTTTGTTAGCACAGTTATTTAGGCAGGCCATCGCTCGTTCACTTGATCAAGTTCTGTCTTTGCATCCTGCCTCTTCTGGCAACCTTTTGGTTTCCACGTGTGCTTATTTGGTACCAGAAATAAATCGTCCGCGAAGTCCAGATCTTTCGGAGCCTTTTTGACGGTCCAACAGTTTCGTGTCTTGTCACACTCCCATGCACAGTATGACGCATAATTCAGTCCATCACAGTTAGGAATATCATTGGCGATAGTAGGCCTCTATGCCTTATACAAATATTATCAACAGGAATTGGTTAGCGAGCACTGTCATTGGTTTACCTTTCTCAAGCCCCTTGCGTGTTGCCGAGAATTGTAAACCGAATATTTATTAGTTATTGATTAAACATTTAGGAGTCTCAAAAGCCAAGGATAATTTGGGAATTCGCAGCGAAACGTTACCATATAGAAGTAGAAAGAGTGATATATAAAGCTTTTCAGTTGTACACTTAAGATGGTCCCTCAAAAGCCTTTATTTTTGGGATTTTTTGCCTTTTTATTACCAAAGTTGTGTACCATTTCAAGGTTAAAGCATTTATATTACTTGCTGCAAGAAAGCCAGGTTTTAAATGGACCAGATTTAATTAGGCAGCATGGCGCGTTTCATGTCTTCCTGTCATTTAAGATGTGCTGTGATTCTGTCTTCTAATGTGTTGACTAGGATTGATATCTGTTGAATTCAGTTAGCTCCTCAGGCTAGACAACCCCTCATAGACATTTACTAGTTGCCGTCAAAGGTGGATGGCTGATTAGTAAAAGCTTGGTTTTCACTTTTGACAAAATTCTCATAAGAAACTTGCGAATAATTTCTAAAACCTTTACGAGGAAAATATTCACCTGAGAGTAATTTAGACCATCCAAATCATTCATGTGACCTATAAGTACTTGAAATTTATCAAAATCTTATTAAATTTCTTTCATATATGGACTAGTGTGCGCCGGTGGCACAGCGGTAAGGATGCCCGCCGACCGTGCACATGGTCCGGGGTTCGATCCCCTACCGTTGCACACCTGACATCAGTGATCGGCCTGCGAAATTTGGGCTATCGACATCACATGCTGAAGATTCCATACTTGCATCAAAAATACTGTGTGGAGACAAGCTATAATAAAATTTAAAAAATAATAATATAACACTTTCGTGAGGTTGTCAGGGCAATGAGCTCGAACCAGCTGTAGATATTTGTAGCCCAAGAAGTGGATTTTGTTTTGAGATAGGTATGCTCTGATTTCGGTCATTTAAGTTTTGAGCTTTCATCAACGTGATTACCAAAAATACATTTCACTATGTAATTCATTATTAATAAAGCTTTGGATAACCGTTTCCTTCATATGCATGAATTTTATTTACAACGCTGATTAAACTCCCGATACCTATTTAGCATTAAATTGTGATGTTATTCTGAACATGATCAATCTCCATTTAGAATACAGTAGTTATGTAGACGAGTTAACTATCTGACAGTATCCTTGATAGCACTGTACTGAAATACAGGTACTTAAAGATGGCAGAAGCTTGTTCATCCTATTAACACTTCACGCATTTTCGTGAATGATATTTATGCTTTATCCTCTTATCTAAAAAAATGCTTAAATTGAGATTGGGGATTATTTGATTGGCTGAATGGCTGACGATTGTGCAGGTATAAGAGAAGATGACCCAGAGGAATATACCTACTTTTTTACGAGTTTGACCATGGATTGTTATCAGTTAGAGAACCATTGAAAACCAGAGAGTGCTGGACAGGTGTTTCATCCTAGTTTGGGGATCATCGGCAGTACGCACTCACTGGGGTTCGATGATTCCCAAACTAGGATGAAACAGCTGTTCAGTACTCCCTGGTTTTCAGTGGTTCTCTAGCTGGTTTCAATCCATGGTAAAACTCGTAAAAACAAATTTAATCCTTACAAACCAACTCTTGAAGAATATATCCACACCTTGCAGTCTGAAATCATCGGACTTAGTCCATCACGAAAAGACTTACAAACTGAGACAGAAATACTTCTTCATTAAATGCTTCTTCGTTTCCAGTAGTTTTCTAATTGATATATCGGTTTATGACCTCAGTCTCTCTTAAAATCAATGAAATTTTCCAAAAACTCAACAAGAGGAATTTTTCTGTTGTTTCAAGGGAATTCTCACTGTATAGCTGTAATGCAGCATACATCATTCTTGTTCCAGCATTACCGGTATATAGACTTTTACGGTTACTCTCAACAATTATGCATATTTTGTCCATATTTTTTTCCAGTTATTAATGCTTGGCTCGGATCAGTTCAATGTGAAACCAAAGCGTGGAATAGCATTTTTACAAGAACATAATATTTTACAAAAGCCATTGAATTATGATGAGCTGGCCGTGTTTCTTCGTGAAAATCCACGTCTAGAAAAACGTATGATCGGTGAATATATTAGTGAACGTGAGAATGTGGATGTTTTAGCAGCATTTGTTAGGTGAGAAAAAAAAAGAGATAAAAAGTCAAAGAGTATTTTACTCTTTCTGTTAACATTTACATTCATTCATTAATGTAATTCACGCAAGTGGTGTATTGACTTTGTATTTTGTGCATGAATCATACCTAAATGATACTACTACTACTTCTGCGCGTATGTTACACTGTCTCGAGTAGGTGAATAAGTAAGTCAGCTGTGAATTAATCAACTCAATAATTGCCAATCCGTTCATCCGAAATCGGTTCAACTGTGCGGTGTATGCTGATTGCTATATGACATCATTTTGCTACACAATACTAACCTCATACCTATTGTCAAGTTGTTTTAAGTGTAAGGAGCTGAAAATGAAATCTTACTCAACAACCATTTGTGCCCGCACGCCGTTGACAGTTGACTGGTTAGGGCTGGTGTCACTACTAGGTAACTGTTCAAAGCTCTAGAACTTCACTGTTAGACTGTTTCCTATTTGAACTAGAGGTTAAATTGTGTTTTTTTTCTCCCCACATTGTTTGGATGTTAAAACAAAGTATATATAAGTGAAATATATATTGTATTCAATTAGATCTCTCTCAGACTTTAATATACATAGCATAATAAACAAAAGTCTAACCTGTGGTATTGAATTCGACAGTGATAACAATAACAATAGTGTCATTGATAATAAAAGTACAGCTAGTGGTTGCAGTTGGTGATGCGATTTTAATGAAGATACCATGATGATGTAAACATCCCAACAATCAAATTAGATTGAAATCTTGTCCAATTAGGAGTTATACAATACTGAAAATGAAGCAGATAGATAGAGTCAAAATAAATGTGGTAACTATATGTGAAAGGAATGGAGAATAAGAAAGAAGTGAGAAGTTCTAGGCTAAGGAAGCGACAAGTAATTGCAAGCATTTATTTCCCGATACAAATTTAAGAGAAGCAATAAAGCCGGATTTAATGAATTCACCAAATTTTAGTAGAACTCCTCACTTGAATATTCTATGTATATGCTTTCGAATATTCTTAGATTCGGCTATCGATAAAACACTAGTGGTGTTAACATATAATCAATTTAGGTTGTCATAGTTTAGTGCTATGGATAAACTGTTATTTATGTAGTCTCTCTCTCTCTCTCGTGCGTCGGTGGCACAGTGGTTAGGACTCTCGCCGACCATGCACATGGTCCGGGGTTCGATCCCCTGCCGGCGCACACCCGATATCTACGGTCGGCCTGAATTTGGGCTACCGATATCCATGCTGAAAATTCCACACTTGTACTGAAAACACGGTGTGGATTCAAGCTGTAAATCAAAATAAATAAAATGAATACACATGCCTTTTGGTACTATGTTTTTTGTTTTGTTTTGAAATTTTCATTTTTGTTTAATTTCATTCAATAGACAGTTTAATTTTGTTGGAGTTCCTATCGATGAAGCTCTTCGTGCCTATGTAGAAGCATTTCGTCTACCTGGTGAAGCACCACTAATTCAAAGGATTATGGAACATTTTGCCGAACATTGGTATAAATCAAACAATTCTCCATTTGTTGATGTTGATGCAGCTTTTACACTGGCATATGCCATATTAATGTTGAACACTGATCAACATAATCCAAATTCTAAACGACAAAATGCACCAATGCGTATGGAAGATTTTAAGAAAAACTTAACTGGTCAGTTCTCTTCTTTTTTTGTTTTACTCTGGTGTAATTTTCATTATTTTTAGCATTTCCAACTTAAATATGAATTATTCACTGAAGACTGTTTGTTGGAGTTCAGGAGTTAAAGATAAACAACCTAATCTCACCTCTTCAAAGAACATCTATCAATTTGACTGCTCCTGTGGAGGCGGTTACATAGGTCGTACAATTAAATGTGTTTGTCGTCGGATTTCCGAACACCATCCAGTCTGGGATTAAGTAAGGGAGAAACAAAGTCCATTCATACTTCTTGACTGTTTCATCTCGTGGATACAGAATACAAAATTGGTGTAAACAAGGTCTTCAAAGTCATCTACCGCATACCAACTAAACTTAATTTCACCTCAAGAGTTTGTCTGTTAAATGTTGCTGAGGCTGCCGGAGTGTAATCTGTGCATCCAGAAGAAGTTGATTCAGACGTTTTCCTTACCGTGGTCATCAAGGTTTTAATGATCCTCAATTTGTTGTAGAGATTTCCTTAATTTTATTTGATATTCTATTTACGATTACACTTTTATGCCTATTATAACTTATGCATCTCTGTTGAACTGTAATTTCATTGGTCTTAACAAATCGAAGGTATTTGAAAAAACACCAATATTGTTAATGACGACACAACTTTCTTGCTTCGTTTATATACATGAGTAAAAATTGACTACACATTTGAATAAAACCAACATAAAACATGCGTGAAACAGAAAGAAAGATAAAGTACATCCGGAACCATTACTAGTGTTATCAATAAAATACAATAAGATGGGAAATAAGAATTTTTTTACAGTGAAAATATGTAACTTGTTAGAATGTTATAATATGAATTGAAATACATTTTAATATTATTTATTATCCTCTGATTTGACTGGTGGTAATATCTTCCTTATCTCTGGTATCGATGATGAGTCACTTCTATTACCTGTGTTGGGTGTAGACTCGATGATCCAGGCAGGATTCAGTAATCGGTATCTCTCTCTCCACCTACCTGTATTACTCTTTAGAATTTTGACTCCATAATGGAATTATACTCTACCACAGTTTCCAGGTTTTATCCGATATTGACTATTCCAGAATATTGCATATATATATAATTGTAGAACCGGATAAGGAAATTATTGAAAAGAATATTCTTTACTCAAATTTTATTTTGTCTCTCCCTGTGTGAATACTGAATCCAGCTGACATAAGAAATTAGGTTATACTGGGATCATATCAAGTTTATTTCAGCCGAACAGTATGAACACCTAATTACTGTACAATCCTGATTGATAGTTACCTTGACATGGTGGTCCGACTTGCATATCACAATAACCTCATGATTTACATTGGCCGAAATTGTTTATGTAAGCTCTAATATGCCAGATTGGTAATTTAGATGACGGTTAGACTAACAGCAGTTAGTGTCGCCATGAAAGTCCTTAACACTATGTGTTGAGGTTTGTGGGCAAAGTCGTGAATAGTTTGGTGAATAGGTATGTAACAGCAATAAAAGTGTTTGCCTCGGATGACTAGCAAGCCAGTTATACTGCCTCTCTGCTATACAGAGGAGGTTTAGAAAACTTCCACCCCGAAAATTGTGTATATCCTGAGTTATGTTGCGGTAGTAAGATATTAATACGAACACAACTCCGAAAATCACTTCGAACAGATCGTGTATGACTGGCTTCAACCATTTGTTCCATAAGCTCTGCAATCACTCAACACTAATGTTTTTTTCTTTTCCAAGTACTTCAGTGAAAAATATTTACTTCCACAATATGGACAGCCATCTACACTTCCAAAAGCGCATAAAGCTTTCCTGATCATCACTCACCTTCATCTACGTTAGGCTATACAGTGGTTTACATACAGGTCATCTATTGTGAACTCAGCAAGACTGATGTGGGGGGGGGCGGGGCAGAAGTATGATGTTTATTAGGATAAAATACAATTGACATTATGGGAATAGGCCTTATATCGTTCACACAATTTGCAAATAATATCTTCACGCGTTTCTTGTTCATTGACTTTTCTATTCATACATAAATTACTATTAATTCGCCTAAGACGTTACCCACCATACTGCTGTTTTATTCTCTTAGAAGTACACCACAGGTGAGATGAAATACTGACTGATTGAGTTTCAGGATGGAACTTTGCATAGAAGTGCATCAGTTCAAGATTCACGCCACACACACTCCATGTAGCACACAAAGGTGGGGAAAAAGAACTATCATGAGGAGAAATATATTGGGAGACAGAAAGAATATTAACATGGAGAAAACATGAGGCCTTAATGAATATCGCAGATCACGTAGACTGAATTCTCCTGTTCCTTTCAGGCTATATCATCAACAGCTTCTGGTCATTGGTTCATAGTATCCCGAGTACCCAAACCAGGCAGTATACATCTTACGAAGCTCATATATATATATATTTCACGGTTAAATAGTATCATTTACTGGATAGTGTTTCGACCACAATTTATTGTTTATAATCATTGTGTATTCTCAGCCTCCTGCAAATTGATTGTCTTTGAACAATTCATATCCGTGTGACACATCGTTTTTGTAGTTACCAAATGTCAGTGTTGAGTTGTTTCGGTCTGCGCTCAGTGTTTTAAACAATCAGCAAAAACATGAAACCCAGGATTTAAGACTTTCAAATTAATAAATGAAAAGTCGATTGGCCAGGAATTACGAGTAGATGTGACATGGAGAATCTTCGTGTAGATGAGGGTGCGTCGCGTGTTTAAAGTTCAGTGTTATTTGAAATTTTAGTTAGTTTCTTGATAGGTATTATAGAAGAAATTATTCTATTGTCACCTTATTGAAGTTGTGTGCAAAAACTCAAGGACATTATGTAATGATGATAAAAGTAGGTGAAGTAACTTCGTGGTTGACGTGTTTCCCACTCTGAAGTATAAAAATAATAATAATAACAATGACTGATTCTGAAAGTTGTCTAATGCCAACTGTTGAGTCATAAGAAATAGACGTCTTTTCGACGATTCATTTTCATAAGCTGCCGTACAATCGTAATTGTATTTAACAAGGACTAATCACTTCCATATTAGTTTGTTTGTTATATATATCATACAGTAAAACAGTATTACTTACTGGATGACGTTTCGAACACACTTTATTGTTCATAATCATATCAATTATAATCACACGACTTCGAAACTTGAGTTTCGAATTGTCTGCTGGAGAACGTGATGCCTAAGGTGGCTGCTTGATTAGTCATTTTCTCACGCTTACTACGTCATCCCAACTTCTGCCCCTTTTCTAATTTCCAATTAGTCACCCCTTCTAGGTGACACTTTACGTGAAGTAATACGTTTTTGGGACAAATTTTACCAGTATCTGATTGGTCTTTGTTAAATCTAATTACATTTCAAGAGTTGATTTGTAAGGATTAGATTTATTTGTCAAGTCGGACCACGGATTGATATTAGTTAGAGAACCATTGAAAACCAGGGGGTACTGGACAGCTGTTTCATTCTAGTTTGGTGATCATCGGTAGTACTCACCCACACCACGGCGTTCGAACCCAGGACCTTCCGGTTACAAGACAAGCTCGTATATCATTCAGCCACTAGGACTTGATTCAATGACCCATGAATTTTAACTCCTACCAATTTGTGAGAAGTTGTGACCAGTGAGGTTCATCCAGTCGAGAGTGGGGATGGATTTCCCACCAGTGACATCATTTGATTCATAGTTGCGCTAAAATCACGAATTGATAGGAGTTAGAATTCATAGGGCATTGAATCAAGTGCCAGTAGCTGAATGATATACGAGCTTGTCTTGTAACCGGAAGGTCCTGGGTTCGAACGCCGTGGTGTGGGTGAGTACTACCGATGATCACCAAACTAGAATGAAACAGCTGTCCAGTACCCCCTGGTTTCCAACGATTCTCTAACTGACTCCGCCTAGTGATGAAATCCAGCCTGGAAGAAGCATATATGGTTTCCCCTCAAAGACATGTTTGAGTAGTGTGAAATTACTTTATGCAGCAATATTAGCATGTTACATTTAGCCTAATAGTTACGTTCAAGATTTTTGAAATTTAGATACATTTAATTGCATTTGATTTTTTTTGTTACTTGCCAATAATTACATTACACCTTCCTCTATCTCAGGTATGAATGGAAATCAAGATTTTGATCCAAAACTGTTGGAATCAATTTTCAATAATATTCATAACAATGAAATTGTCATGCCTATTGAACAGACAGGTTTGGTTCGTGAAAACTATTTATGGAAGGTAGGTTAGTGTTAGGATTTTGAATTCTCCATGAACATAATGACTAGTGTGTTGTGTGATTAATAAACTGAATTGTGCAAAATTACTGTTCACCTGAAGTATCCACTGTCAATCGACATTTAATCTGTCCTGATGATAGGCTGCTATATAGTCTGGAATGATGATAATTGAATAACAGACGGGCAGTGTCACCATTGGACGTTATAATATCACCACAACACAGTGGTCTAATTTGTCATTCATGTCACATGAAATAAAAGCTACTGAAATGAGGCGAATATTATGTCACAGCGCCATAATAAAATGGAAAGAAAGAGAACTTTAATAAAAGGAGTTCGATGTATAATTAGAAGCAGAGTAAAGCATCTGGGCTCATTGTGGTCGATTTTAACCAATATCTTTATATTGCTGTGTAGATGTAAATTACCGTGAGACGATGTATATTTTCTCCATTCCCTCCAAATCCACTGATCACAGAGTTCATGAATTAATACCATATCCTGGTTCGCTCATGCTTAGCTTCTTCCAGTTTCACCCTACTTCTATATATGTAGCTTAATTATTCAGGTAGTGCCTGAGTATGCATATGCAGTTTTGCCTGAGATACTTGTGGTTTGCAGCAAACAAACCACTAGACGTATGACACTAGTTACTATCTACTATCCAGTCAAATTATTCATTATAGTCCTACCGGAGGCCAGTCACGATTTCGACTAGCTCGGTGGTGCCCCGTGGATTCGAATCTCAGAAGAGACATGAATTCCTTCAACACTGCAAATACGCTTTGTTGATGGGTGCCAACAAACACAAAACCTAGGTCCATTGTTTCCAACTGATTGCCTTCAACCATGTAATAACATTTCAGAGTGCACCATAATGGTGGGCCACATGGCATGGTGGCTACGTTGCTACGTACTTGACTGGTAGAATTCAGTCTGCACTAAACGGTGGGCTAGACGCATGCTTAGAAAGTACTGCAAAACCAATTATAGTCAAATTATTAAAGTTTCTTAGGTTCTTTTTCACCTAATGGCTATGTATCACATACATGGAATAGAACAGAGTGCAGCAGTAAGTGAGTGAGTGAGTGAGCAGAATATTTAACTTGCATGAATAATCGAATTTCAGGCACAAATGTTTTGTTCAATAATCACTATGCTGTTATTTATTCAATTTTATCACAATAATTTGTATGATAACTAAGTAAGCGGAATTCTGTATTGAGTATTTTTTCGTCGACACCTTACGGACAAGATTTTAAAGAAAATATTAAAAGAAATCAGCCGCAAGCACAAAGTTTATTTATAGCGTTCCTTTTTTTAAAAAAAAAATATTATTCTTTTTTTATTTCCTCCTTTTGTATATGAATCGTGTCTAAAGTGTCTACTTCGGCGTTCATCAACAAAACAAGCACAGTTCATTCATCTACAGACTGGTGTATTGGATGCTGATTTATTTGAATTAATCTGGGGACCGACAGTATCAGCATTATCGTTTATCTTTGATAAAACTACAGATCCTGAAGTTCAGAATAAAGCGGTCGATGGATTTAATCGATGTGCAACTATAGCTGCTTATTATGGAATGAGTGATGTTCTAGACAATTTAGTTATTTCATTGTGTAAATTTACAACTTTATTAACTGCCAATGATATCGTGAGTTTTGGTAGTTTTCTATTCCAATTATAATGTGTTGTCTATCATTTGAACTTCTGTTGATTATAATTAGGGCTTCAATAGCACGTGTCTATCCCTCTTCTTTCTCAACTGTCACATCAATCCAACTCCTTGATATTGTCGTCGTATAATCTCCTGACCACCCACCCATAGATGCTCATCTCATCTCGTCTCTACCTACCCGACTTCCATGCGAGAGTGAGTGACGTGCAATTTTACCTAAATGCCACGCAAATCCATCTCCACTTCCTTCTGCAATCGGCTGTTGGCTAGCTGGCTGTGTGCTAGAATTCCAATCGTTATTGAAACTTTTCTTAGCATAGAAAAGTAAACCTATGAAGTAAATTATCAGTTTAAATGACGGAGGCGATGATGCTACATCACAGGATTTTGATCATGTTTTGTCTTGCATATGTGTGAGAAGTCTGAAACTTGTTCTGTGTTCAGTCACACTTATTATTTGAGAATTGATGATACCTACTTGCCTATAAGGACGATTTGAAGCTAAAGGTTTTGCAGTTCCACCTCAGAGGAATGTAACTGTCTGCATGTCTGAAGGTGTTATGATGTTATTATCATTGAACCAAATAAGGTAATAGTTTATTTCATTTTCTGTATAGTAGAACTAATGAGTATACATTACTTTGAAGAAAATAAATCGATAATATTAAACATCTACACCCAGCTCATACATACACTGTATGTTTCCTTTTTTTTGACACACTATGTAAACTAGGTTAATGAGAAATTAATAATTAAACCAAGGTATAATGGTAATCCACTAAATCAGTAACTGTGTGCTTGTAGCATGTAAAAATGTGTAAATTTTATTAGATGAAACAACTGACGAGTTATAAACACTACTGCTGATGAATTCAACTTCAGAAAAACTAGCCAGACGACCAGTCGATGTTTAGAGAGATAGCTTCAGTTTGGTTAGGAGATACTTGTCTCGTGTGAATACTGTTCATCCTGAATAACGAAACATGATATCTTTAATGAGAATATTGTGAAAATATTTTCTCCTTTGTGCTATATGTATTCTGAAATCTTATAAGTTGTATAAAATCACAGTTTGAGGCGAGAATTCACCGTTGATTCCCTACTTGATGTGAATACTTTCCAATTACTGATATTGATTAGTATTATATACAGTTATGTGGTTGTTGTGTAGTGCTCCAATGGTGTACCACAACAATAACAACAACAACTTTTACTTTACTTTTTTTATTCACTTGATATGCATAGCTTTTTTTCCCATCAGTTCTCTGTCATCTTTCTTCCTAGAATCCTACAAATTTGTCTGTTCTGCTTGGACGTAATACAAAAGCTTGTCTGGCTCTACGCTTAGTATTTAGTATCTCTTCGAAACACGCAGATATTCTACGCTATGGTTGGCATTCACTATTAGACTGTCTACTTCAATTATTTCGCGCAAATCTTATACCCTATGAATTATTGGAATCACAAGATTTTCTAGCTTCATCACGAAAGGTCTATGTTACAACTGAAGGTTGCATACCGATAAAAAGTAGGTCGAAGTCTTCACGTCATTCGTTTAAACGTAAACAGAAAACTTCCCATTCACAGAATACTAATTCTAATCGGTAAGTGCACGGATATCGTGTAATATGTACATACCTTTAATCTTTGATCATATTTCTTTTACTGCCTAGTACCTGTCTAATCTAAGTGTGGTTTGTTCAAAATCTAAGTTGTTTGAATGATGAGAATGTGTTCCTAGTGTACTTTAGAGAAGCTATATACACCCTACCACTTCTATATATATGACTGACTCGATCTCATTCGAGAGCTATCTGTCTTCTGTCTGATTAAGTGGGTCTCTTTAAAAATAATTTGAGTCCACGGAACTTACTATCATCACCTTTTTTATAGTTTTCACCTACGAACTCACTGATTTCAGTTCTGAAACAGTAAATTAAAAGTTCCACGGGAAGCTGTCAAATTTTCCATAACTAATCGAACTCTGATAATTCTATTAATCGTTTTAGGCACATCTATACGGAGTCTTTGCTAATGAAACGACAGCGATGATCATCTCTTTCAGGTTTATTCACGTACAGTTGTGCATTTGCTGCTGTCTACCCTGATTTCGAATATATAAGGAGATCCAGCTCTCGCTTGGTAATCATAGTTGGAAAATCAAGGTTTTGTTCAGTACAAAGTGATAATTAAAGTCGGTTATTGGGAGGTTCTTAATCCTTTCACAGTGTTTGCGTGAACAAAAAACAATCCTACTGTATATAGAAAAGTGAATTGTGAAGTTGCATAGTTTTTCCAGTTTATACACTAAAATATTAAGTCCAATGTCTACCTAACATCTCAATGAACATTAACATTATCCTGAATAAGTCTGTCGCTATACCCAGTCCGTTTGTGTTTTGCAACCAAATATTTCGGAAATAAATTGGATGTCTAGCATCATTCGAACTGTTAAGGTGTGGCACAAATGCAGATTATATGAACATTGACTAAAACCTTTGTAGTGACAATGATCAGTGGATAAGATATGAGATCGGAAAATACGGTAAAGGCTTTAGCTGTTATGACTTATTCAGACTTAACAACAACTTTGAAAAATAAAATTGTTTATGAAATAGACTGATCTGTGTTAACAGATGTCTGGAACATTAGACAGTAAATCTTGAGGAACGTACTTATGTGCTACAGTGTTTCAGCGGTCTGTTTCGGCTTAAGATTGATGTGTATCTTAGTCCTCCAAGTCACAACGAAGTTTAGATGACTATCTCACAATTGAAGTGAAACAAAGCAGCGTTATACTGGTGAGAAATTATCGGTAAGGTCAACTAGGGCTCAAACTAATGCGTTACCGTCTTAGTCTAAACTGTCTACTAGTCTCTAGTGTATTATTCTTTCGCTTCTCGTCTTGAATTCATATTTATCCGTTGTATTATCACACCCATTTATGTGTATTGTTTCCAATGGTCCATCGAAATACACTTCTCATTGAGGTTTTACACACTGATCGGTGTGTACTTGTCTTTTCCCATTTATTTCGCCAGCAGTTAACTTTCATCTTCTGAATGATCTACTCACATTAAATTCCCACTCTTTTATACATTAGATTCCTGTGCCTGTGTTACACTACATACTTAACAGAATCAACCTCAACCACTTTGGATTGCAGTGTAAATATCCTTCCTAAAGTTGAATGTTAGTGTTAGTATCTATCAGTGCATTGATATTCTCCTTATCTTGTTTGACATTGTTACTATTCATCATCAACACGCACCAGTCACTATCAACGACAGAAATCCGAAAAACGTTATTTCGTTCATTTATCTCAGCAGCATTCTCTTAACTACACACAGAACGGATGAGGATGTCAAATCCGCTCAAGGTCGGGAAAGCAAGACACACCTTAGTTGCATGATGAAGGAAATTCGCAATTGAATGTCAGGTCAGGCAATTAGTCAGTCATTTGATGATGCTTCTTAAGGATTCAGAGACTTGGTAAGCGTGTCACGAAAAACATTTCCAACAGCCTACTACAGACTTTCATCACCGGCTACCTTCACTGCATACTGAAGATCAGATGACCGACTGGCAAGAGTAAGCGACAAGGAGATCTGGAAACGAACCAACCAAGAACGCATCACCCAACACGTGGGCATGGAAAAGCAATGCAGTTGAACTGGATACACGCCGAGGAGGCTGTTGAATGACATCCATCATGCACCGGGTAAACTATCGATTGGAACTCGAATGGGAAACGACGAGTTGGACGTGGGTGTGAGGGTGGAGGAGATGGAGGAGATTGTGTGAAGAGGAGGAAATGACAAAGGTGAATCGTGGAGCCGGATAATGTCTATACTGTGTAGAACAGAATGAAATGTAGATGTGCTGATGAAGGCCTACATCTCACTCGAAAGCTAAGAGAACAATTGTAATATTCATCTTTTTGCTTCTTTTCTTTTTAACTTAAAGGGAACTAGGTGTTTTTAGTTCATTCTATCAGTATTTAACAACTGGATCAACATGGATTGCTTCAGGTGATGAAGAAGATGAATCAAAGGATGATGACAGCGATGATGATGATGATGATGACGATACCGCAGATGGCAACGACGGGATTTTGTTGAATAAAAAAGATCATGGTATATCTTCATCATCTCGTGATTGTAAATCATCATCGAAGGGTAATAATTCACCAGATAGCGGAATATTTAATCAAAATGAAAGCAAATTATTCAATAGTATAATCAGTCAGAATAATTTATTATCATCCTCGGTTAATCGTAGTGGTGGTCAACTGGATGAACAGACAGCGACTCGTTTTGCTTCAGAAGTTGTTTTACAATGTCATATTGCACAATTGATTGAAGACAGTAAATTTTTGGTTGACGCTTCGTTAATCGAATTAATCAAAGTAGGTTTTATTTTTGTTTTGAAAACTTACTTTTTAGCATTAACTTTTATTTGTTTCATCTGGCCTAGGTATATTTCATCACATGTATGTTTAATTAATAGAGTAATGATACATGTCCACTACTATTTATTTTTATGACCAGTGGATATATAGCGCATAGGTTGAGTTGATGACCTCAGTGTTTGACATCCGTATCTCTAAAACATTATATTTCATGGTAAGTTTTTGTGTCCTGTCAACTATTCATATACTCGCTGGTGTAAATGGTTGGTTCTAATTGTGTAATGGTAGGCTACAAGTAATATTACTTGTTAGAATTTGAACTCTATTCCAAGCTACTGTGTGGTTGTGTGCTCATGCATGTAGTGCGATTGCTGAGTTTTTTTCTCAATTGCTTATTTTCGAAAGGGTTCAATTATTCTAACCTTAGCTAAATTCTTATGTTCTGGTAATTTCACTACTCCTGATCTACTAGTTTGACCTATGTAGTTGATCACTCACAGTCATTGCAAGGTATTTTGTAAATTATGTTATTTTGTCTAATTGGGTCCACCGGGTCCTTTAGCCTACAGAGTTTGTGCTTGAATGAGTTTAAATGCCACCCTAATTCCTGCTTTATTAAGAACCCTGCTTAAATGGTAAAACTATAGATGCCTTATATTCTTTCTTATCTACGTTATCATTATTAGTTCCACCGTTATTTTTTATTTTGCTTTTGACGTTTTCTAATCTTAATGATGAATTTTATAGGATAGTTATTTAACACCAACGCCTCTTCTATCTGTTTCATTTAATTATTTAGGTCTTTTTATGTACTACTTAGTGCTATTGCTCGGTTTGTTAGGAAAGTTAACTAAGCCTGCGTTTACAGATAACGGATGAGATGAACTAAAGTTTAAGTATTTATTAGCAGAATGAGTTGGCTAGTGTGTAAAACTACCAGTAAGCAGAGGAGTTGAATTCTCCTCAACTTTGCCAAAGTAATCTCCATCGAACTCCTGAAACCTGAATTATGTATTCAGAAAGAACCGGTTATCTGTCTTTTCTTGCCCTGTCTAGTAACTGGATGTTTTCATGCTTTCTTTCATTTGATTACATAACGCCAAACAACTTCATTGTGTATGATTATTATTGTTTGGAATTAGGTGATTATTATTATCATTATTGTTATTATTATTATTGCCATTGCATGCATATATTGATTTTTTTCTTTGACAATGAACTCTGTGAAAGTATGTTAAAAGTGTTTCTTTACATAAACTTAATAATGTCTTCGGGCTGTAAATAGCTGAGCTGATGAGAAACCAACGAAATCAGCAGTGATGGTACCATTTTGTTATTCTGCACAAATCACTGTTGTTCTTGCTTTATTCAAATTCATAAAGGGGAATAAATGTATGAATGCTCATTATTATTGGGAGAATGACGAAGCTAAGAGAAACCAGCGATACATTTACTTATAAGCATTTGTTTTGGTAACTCTGTTTCTTTTGTCTCTGCGTAAGGAGATAACAGTTATCAATAGAATTGTGTTAGTAGTATTAAATGGACATTACGAAATAGTAACCTGTAATTGTACTCTTTGATTCATGTATTGCCTTCACCAAATTAACTAGGTTTAGAAAAACATCACTCTTACGCTTTAAACATTATGTGTACATCAGTTTTCCATAGTAAACTCGTATTATGTTAGTGCAAGTTAGCTAATAGGGTAACAGGGTGATCAAAACGTGTTACGAATCCATGAAGTCACTGACTTTTGATCCAAAGCAATGTATAGTTCCCGAAAGTCTTCAATGGAATACTGGACAGTATGATTCAAAATCGATTACAGTAGTGTAGGTAAATGAATTCCTACTCTACCTTCCTCATAATCATAGTAATATATCATTTTTCTTTGGGTTTTTTTTCGTATTCCGAGGCATTTCATGAAATTTCATTGAACTACTTTTATACCTATCTACCTGTGTTTCTTTGACTTTATGTTTAGCTATAGAAAATATGACAGCTTGGATCATCACTGTGCAGTAAATGCTATATAATGTATTTCTTTGCATTTCTGTTATCAGTAAAGTGTTTACATTTCACACGAAACTGTAAACTGTGCATTATAGTTTTTATTTGTATAACGAAGTCGATTATTTTTAATTCAATATTCAAAATATCTTGAATAATATTAATCATTAAGGTTTGTTTTTCAGCAGTTTAAACAGTTTGTTTAATTTAATCCATTCTTTCTTCACTTTATAGGCTTTGTTATGCGCTACACGCGGAGATGTTCATGCTACACTACCGAATAATTTTGATTTTGATTCTATGTTTTCCATGGATGGTTTATTGCATATTACTTCTCATTCAATACAAAATAGTGTCAATTCTGATTCAGGGTTATCTGCATCTTTGTCCACTACTGGTTCGAATGGTCAAACCAGCGGTTATACTTATGAAGCCATTCCAGGTGTTCCAACACAACAATACTATACTTCATTGCAGCAGAATTCCCTTTCTTCAACTTCACCACCATTACTTCAGTGGATTGGTAGTGCCAATTCCACTGCATCTTATTATTCACCGTGTAATTCTGCAAGTGATGGTAGCTCTTCGTTAGATGACTGTCGTGTATTCTGTCTTGAATTGCTTATTCGTGTTTTAATGCATAATCGTGATCGATTGGCTGGATTTTGGTCTTTGGTAAGATACTATCTAGCTGACCTGTTGCTATCTACACGTCCACCGAATCTTCTCGTTGAAAGAATAATTGTTGGCTTTCTTCGTTTAGCCATCTGTCTGTTACGTCGACATGAAGTAACCAGTCAAGTGAGTTGTCTATCTATTTTGTTTCTTAAGGCTGGATCCTTATTTAGCTGTGTTTGTAAGCTGTCACACACGTTTTAAATGACTTACACGATTGTAGTGTCTGTTGATTGTAATTCATGGTATTGAATAAATGTAATAATTTGATGTAAACATATTTTGAGTTTACGAAGAAGACGTTAGTGAATTTCCACCCTGAATTGTGCAATGTACAAATGCTGAATCTGTTTCTATTTGCAATTCATATCTTTGTAGGTTGTGTGTAGAAACCGTAAGGAAAAAGCCTGTTCAACTCGCAAAGGCTATAATGTCATTAGAGATATTTTTTGAAGGAAGACACACTTTTATTAGTCTTCGTTAACAACACTGAAACTATGGAAATTTTTTGACTTTACTGTCAATTTATTTCCTTTTGGTCAAAGATATCCATTGCGTTTAAGCGTACTACTACTACTACTACTACTCTTTATAACTTGATAATTTTATTTCTTTTCGAATGATGGCTAGCAGAAATTTGATCGGTTACGGGATTTCCTCATGAGCTGACATCCGTTTGAGAACCATTGGAAAACCTGGGAGTACTAAATAGCTGTTTCATCCTAGTTTGGGACTCTTCACCATTGCTTGAATATCAATGAGATGCTCAGTAGTGACTGGCCCTGTCTGTCTGTCTGTTTTCGACATGGAACTTTGCACTGATGTGCAGCAGCTCAAGTCGCCACACTCCATGTAACACACAAAGCAAGAGAAGAAAGTAGAAGAAATGCATAATAGAGACAGTAAACATAGGTTAGGTGTGAGACAAAGGAATAGTAATTACGAAGAACGATATAGTTTCATTGGGTATTATAAGTCACAAGGAGTGTATGCGTCTGCGCCACTGAGAAGGATTTTGAGCCATATCACCAATTGTCGCCAGCCAGGCCCTATTCAGGTAGGCACTTCTAGTGGGAAGTCGTGACCAGTAGAGTACAACAGGTTGGTCGTGAGGACAAATACACGCCGAAGGCATTGGCTACTGGTCGCATTATGTCGTGAATTGGCAGAAGTTGGAATTGATGGGCCATTGGATTGGGTCCCAGTGGCTTAATGGCCTTCGAGCTCATCTTGTAACTGAAAGATCTTGGGCTCGAACCCTGGCGGTGGTTGCGCACTGTTGAAGAGCCCCAAACAAGGACGAAACAACTGTCTAGTACTCTCACGTTTTCGAGTGGTTTCAAGTTAGATCCGCTAGCTGATGTCGGTTATAGCAATATTGAAAACTATGGAGTATTGGACAACCGTCTCTCTCTTAGTTTGGGACTCTTCGACAGTTCGCACCCACCAGGACTTTTATGTCATTAGGTGCATCTATTGATCACTCAGTCACTGGGGTAGAATACAATAGTGTTGGCCTATGGATTGTAACATTTACTAATTCGTGACATATAATAGCTTCACCACCAACCAAAGTCATCGGCAATTGTTCCCCCCTACATCCAACATACACTTCTACATCATTCAGTAAAAAAGGTTGACCTATAAGTAAGCATTGATTTTCTTTCACCGGGTGATTTACATGTGAATTTATCGATGGCTAATAATAACACATGCCCATGTTTGTTAAAATAGTTTACATTCTTTTTTGTGAATTGAAAGGAATTTTATAATTATTCAGTGTGACAGGATGGTGGATGCTTATTGAATTCATGAAATGAATACGTAGTAGACGTACTTTTCAATCTATTTTAGATATTTGCAACATTGTATTGGCTTCTTTTAAATCATGGTGAACAATTGATGTACTGTATTAATGCAAAAACAAACACATCATCTTCAACATTGAAACAGTCAAGTGGTGGTGGTGGTGGTATCACCTCACCGAAAATGTCCAATTCACGTAGTGTCAATAAGAAGTCTTCTACTGACGGCGTTAACAATCTTGACTCTATGCTATTAATGCTATTCAAACAAGGTTCACGTGTCGGTCGACAGGTGATTTCTGGTTTAACAGATTTGTTAAGAAATCATGCTGCTGATCTACCAGATCCAACTACAGATTGGAAGCTTATCTTTGGCTTACTAGAGGTTTGTGGTGCTGGTCGACGAGCGAATAGCATTATACAAAAAGGCGGAAGTGATAAACTGATTTGTAAGCTGATTGTAATTTTTTCTCTGTTTTGTCTCTACGAATAAATTTATACATTTCATTTAACACTAGGTAGCAACTAATGTCATGCAAACCTGGCCAGCCATTTGATCTTAAGTATGGGGCAGCTGTTGATCGAAGTCTACAGTAGCCTGTTGGAAATCCTTTTCGTGACCCGCCCGCCAAGTTTCTGACCCATATAGGAGAAATGACTGACTTCACATTGGGGATGAAAATCCGAATCTTGTTCTCTATGCTGATTGCAAAAGATCTTTAAACTTATTTCACATTAATGAAGGCGTATCTTGCCTTTCCGATTTTGACTAACTTTGACGTCTTCATCCGTTCCGAACACCTGTGGTTGAAACAATGCTTCCTAGATTAGTGAAGCCGGGAAGTAACTTCTGTCACATATTTCCCGTTGACGGTGATTAGTGCTGGTTGTTGTTGCTGTCGGTTGGTTGGTTGGTTATCTTTATCTCCTCCATCATCTCTAATTTCACCCGGAATCCTGTCGTCATTGCCATGCTCTTCAGCCAGTTTGTTGGTTTCCGCCTGGAAGTCTTCGTGTTTGTGTGGTATCAAACATAAATCATCTGCAAAATTCAGGTCTTCTAGAGTCTTATTATTGGTCCAACGTACTCCTGTCTTCTCACTCCTAACGCACAGTCTTCCGCATAATCCAGTTGACCACAATAGGCAGTCAGCCAGTCTTTTCTTACTGCTGTATTCACTTCGAATGCGTTGCCGATTTTTCCGATGTGGATCACCTGATACGTGGTATTGTTATCTGGTTGTTGAGTGAGCTTGACAAGGAATTGGGCACTGCAACCGGAATGCTAAAGTAGTTTCTAAATTATTTCGCTGTCTGTCGAAATCCTTTTTGAAGTTGTTGAAGTTAAGGCTGAGGTTTGACTGCCATTTTGTGCTTCGTTTGATGATGATGATGCGTAGAGTTGCGATTTGATCAGCACATTATTTGCCTTTCCTGAATCCAGCTTGTTTTGTGAGGTGGAGTTCCGCATCTAGTTCATCCTTTATTCTCTCCAGGATGTTGGGGCTGAGTATTTTACTTGGTGTGCACAAGAGCATTATTCCACTCCAGGCAGTTCTTGCAGAGTGAGGCGTAAGACGCCCTTCTTTGGCAGCTTGACAAGGTAACCAGTCTTTCTTCCTATCGGTAAGCCCCTTTCCTTCTTTCCATACCTTTTGCAATAATGGGGTCAGCATATCTGCTGCACTGACCTAAAATGTTTCCTAGTTTAAATTTAATGGTTTTGAACTTTTTTTGTGGCTTAGTTTTTACTTTTTTTAAGCGTATTTTTATCATGTACGCATACTTCCTTATTTTTAATTTGTATCCGTCTCGAATTTTAGATGCTAGTACAGATGAGCTGGAAACAGCGACGCCTGATAATAGTCGACAGTTGTTTCATACAGACATGCATGAATCAAATCGTGGTTATACCAGCGATAGTGAAACACTTCGTACTGTTCATGATCTACCACCACCTGTAACAAGTACTTCGTCTCTACAGCTATCCAATACACAATATGGTAAAGTATCAGAAATAGTCAATGAACCGAATATTCCAATCAATTCATCATCAGAAGTAGACACGACAACGCTTGAGATGAATAAAAATGGTTTTTCAGAATCCTATGAAGTATTATCCAAGCTGTCAATTAGTGAAATACAAAATCCTATCATGGATAAATCATCTTTGTTTACCACTCCATTGGCGTTAAGTTATGAAGTGCCTATAGGGTCACGTGATCCCGTGACATTAGAACAAGCAACTGATTGTTTAGCCTTTTTAGTTCGTGATCCAGCTCATATAACACCGGATAACTTTGAGGTTTGTACAACATGCCTTATTTTTTTCTGCATTTAATTGTAATCTTTTAACTTAGACTTGTTGGTTAATGATAATTTTTTCTGACTCTTGAATCTTTCATCCTTTCAGGTGGATGGTGTGATTGACAAGATAATACACGTGATTCTATATTACAGCCACCTTTTTTTAATAGTAGACAGTACATAAATTTCTTTGTAATCTTTCGACGCGTTATGTCATACTGTCTAGTCCTGTAAGCTCTAGTGGGATTCTCCGTGAATTTTGGTGTTGAATAGGGATGCGGTGGTTATTTTCTTGTCTTTTATGTTGTGTATTCCATGATGTACCTTGACACTTTGGTTCACACGCTATCAGCCGGTATGTGTTGTATTCAAATAAGGTGAGCACACAAGGTTTAAGGCAAATTCGCACTTGTGCAATTTACACAAGTGAAATTTCATCGCAGTTTCTTTTAGAAATCGAAATTATTCAGATCACAATATGTGTGTCATCTTCTTGATACCATTGATGGCAGTCAAGAAAGCAAGTACAAATGGATGACACTACGTGTACTACTGATTGATATGGATAGTTGGATACCCCACTCACATTAACCTGTAGTGTTTGCTGGCGAAGTAGCTAACCAGAGTTGCGGTGATTTCAAATGATTCGATTCTCTGAACTGAGTCAAACTAGATACACCAGTGATGAGTTCGATCTCACTAGCCGGTGTTTAGATTACTTCAACCTGGCCTACTCCATCTCTGGCTTAGTAGACATGATATCAAGCTGGCATGTGAACTGCACAGTAGTCTGCTCCGTCCTTCTTTATGGCTGTAAGACATGACCGTTGAAAATGGAAAATATGAAAAGGCTAGCTGTCTTTAATCATAGGTGTCTGTGTTCTGTCTCACATGCGTGTTATGTGGTATAATAGAGTGAGCATTATTGAGGTTAGGCTTCAGTCGAGTGCTATGCAAGGAGGGGAGATCAGTCGATGAGGTTGTGAAGCAGCTTCAACGATTGAGATGACTGGGACATGTTTTATGCATGCATCCCTAGCCATTGTCTTCCTCAACAGGCAGTAGTAGTTGATATAGGATGAGGTTGCACAGAGAAAGAGCTAGTGGTGGTAAATCTAAAACAGGGCTTCATCATTTTGGTGTGGTTGTGTTCTCTGAGCTGGATGGTTTGGTTGCGAAGCTTTCATTGCTCAGTAGAGCAATGAAAGCTTCGCAACCAAACCATCCAGCTCAGAGAACACAACCACACCAAAATCATCCACCTGAGCTACAAATCTTCTCTATTATATCTAAATCATACGAGCGGAACACGCTTCATCATTCAATGAAATCCACAACAGTTAGTTTAATCCAGTCAAGTAAGGAGGTGTAGACATCCTGAATGGTTAGGGTCCTCGAAATGGTAAAATCCAATGAAAACTGGAGAAAATTCGTGATGTCGCCAGCTCAATCAAAACTGCTCTCAATGACTGGCGCACACGCATTCGCTCTTTGTGACTCATCATATCCAATAAAACTCTACTGTTCTTCCATATTACTATTCTTTTTGCCTCACAGTTCGGTTTATCATCTCTCTTTTGAATGTCTCTCTACTCTCTTCTCTTGCTTTGTGTGCTACATCGAAGGAATGTGGCAACTTTAACTGGTGCACATCTGTGCAAAGTTCTACGTTGAAACCAGTCAGTCAGTCAGTCAACCTGGCCAGCGACCACTATTGATTGTTGTGTAAATCAATCAGTAGTGTATAGCGTCATAAAAAATTCAGTAAATATTTTTTAAAACTGATCTTTAAGTGTATATCTGTTTGTCGTGATAACAGAAAGTGGAGAAGTTGCTTTTATAGGATACAGGCTATAATTATCTTAAGCAGATGTGAAGTGTTCTCTGTTTGTTTCTCCTGACGAGATACACTTTTAAAAATTTATTAGGTAAGCAATAAGTTCTGATGAATTGAAGTACAATATCATAGGTAACTGGGTAACCAGACGAATTCTACTCCTACCTCAATCATTTGACTGTTCTGCGCATCTGCTGTGATAAGTGTTCATCGTATAAGAAAAGAACACTGTATCACATTCATTTCATTTATTATGTTTAGTGTTAGGTATTATTTTCCTTGTATATACATTTTAGAACTATTCTCTGGTAATCCATATCACTTCATGTGTTTTTTGTTACTTATTACCAGTATGCTGTTCAAGCTTTACGAGTTTTTGTTGAAGCGTGTCTTCATCGACCACCAAAATACACCAATAAGAGTCGTCTGTCAGATACGCATAGCAGTGCAAATAAAATCAATTCAGATACACGTCGACCTCGATCTGATTATCCGAGAATTTCATCAAATCGTCAAATGCATCATCACCATAATCAACGTCATCGTCATTATGCTTTGTCCGATTCAGATACGGATAATGAATATCATGAGCAGGAGAAATGCAGAAAAACCGAAAATGGAATTTTGTTCACTGAAACGATGTTGAGTCCTGTGACCAGTGTTATTGCTATTCAGGTAGGTGAACTAGAAAAGTTCAATTCACTAGTTAAAATTTCTTATATTCTAGTATTATTATGTATATATATCTGTCTGTTTGTCTGTCTGTAAGTGTGTGTGTGTGTATGCATGAGATTGTCCAAGTTAATGAAGTTTCTGAGGTTGTATCATATGCAATTATATTTTGTCTGCTTTACTTCTGTGTCATTCAGACAGTTGTGTTTTTATTTTTATTATTTTCCTTTCTATTTTGATTACAGCTACTTGATCTGATCAGTATATTGTTCACACGAGCGACATCAATATATACTGAATGGACCAAAATGAGCTCTGATAGAGTAACACCATCATATGCTGCAACAAATGATGACGGTGATGTTGACAGTGATAACACCCGTGAGATAGTGGCTGAATCTACACTAACTAATGCGGATCGATTAAATCTAGATCATTTATGGACTAACTGTTGGCGACCTTTACTTCAAGCTACAGCTAGACTTTGTTCCGATATTCGTCGAGATGTTAGAACAGATGCATTGAGTTATCTACAGAAGGCTTTACTCTCACCAACATTACATTCATTAAATGGTAAACAGTGGGAAGATTGTTTCGATAAGGTATGTGTTCTATTAATCGATCACTTGTTGATAAACCTGTTAATTATTTTCGTCTTCAGAATTACTTAACTGTGATATGAATGCACACACACACACACACACGGTCCCGGTTTGATTCTCGGTCGACGTGCACTCCTAAACCTCGCCTAGCCGGTAGTAATCCTGCTAAAGTAAATGTAAAAGTTGGGTTTGTGGCCAACGACCCTACCCCATAAGAAAAAAACAACCAACGTTGCTGAAAATTCGTCGCTAGAGCCTGAAGCTCAGTATTCCACGCAAAGGAAAGGAAAATAAAAAATGTGATAAGCCTAAAATTAAGTAGGATCTTCTTGTAATTCTCTCGTATACGGTCGCCTGTGATGTTACAGTTCTTATCTGTAGTATTTTCTCACTTATATCTTGAAAGGCCGGTACTAAATTGCTAGGTCTTTTGTTAAACCATTTGTAAGCTGACTCGTCCATCTTTTTTGATTGGACATTGGTCAGTAACTAGTGTAATGTGTGTAGTCCTATCTTTGGTGCAGACTGAATTCTACTGGTCAAGTTTGCAACGTAGTCACCATGCTAGGTAGCTCGCCATCACGGTGCACTGTGAATTGTTGCTGTTAGATAGGTCATCATATCAACCTCTTGAATCTCGATAGAAGTCATTGTTTATGTTCAGTTAGACTAACGAAAATTCAAAGATTTATCAGGGTTATGAGTCACACATTTATAGTGTATTAGGTTAGGTGTTATAATACCCTATCGGCCTGGTTGAAAATTATGTAGGTGTGCCATACGAACATGGAAATACACCTGACAGAAAGCTGTCTTTAAGCTAGCTAGTCCAGATGATACCCATGCAATAAGTCAGTGCTAGTTAATTCCATTTTAATAGGTTTATCATGTCGTATGCAGAAAAAATTCGAATATTCATAGATTTAATTAAGAGAACTTTTTTCCTCCCATTTCTTTTGTTTTTAGGTTCTCTTTCCATTATTATCTGGTTTCCTAGAGAGCATTGCACTTGAAGAAGCTATTGCTGCAAACTCACAAAGAGTGAATAACATTGGTAGTGTTGGGGCTGGTGGAACTACTAATCATAACTCAAATAGTACTGGGTATGGTTATCACTTACATACTGTGGAGTTTGCTGATCCGCGTATGCGTGCTATCCCTTTATTGACCAAAGTCTACCTGCAGCATCTTCGACCCTTATATGAATTGGATACCTTCAATATACTATGGATACGGATGCTTGCATATATGGAGCGTTATATGCTTGCCAGTAGTTCTGATTCATTAGTGAGTAATAAGATGCTTTTTGATTATTCTTGTTTACTTTATATATATATATATATATATATATATGTGTATATATATGCGAGTTCGTTTTTTACATACATATAGCTGCAATCGTCGGAGTCTCCTCGTATAGGGCGAATTTTTGTATCTCGTAAATTTCCGCTTAATTTTATCTGATATTAATTTTAGTATTATATTTCTATGCACATTATTATCTTCCACTGCTTCACTTACTGTAGCTAGTGTTCCTCAAGGAGATATTCTTTCTCCTCTTCTGTTTTCTTTCTTCTTACATGAGTGGCCCCATTCTGACGAAGCCAATTTTTTTGAGTATGCCGGTGGGTGAGTACTGATGAAGAGTCCCGGATTGGGATGAAACAGCTTCTAAGTTTTCCCAGCTTTTCCAGTGGTTCCCTAACTGATGTCAGCTCATGATGAAATCCTCCAACCAATCAAACAAAATCCCTACAATACCATTACTTCTCAGTCAGACGGTTGCAAAAGGATTAATTTTTTATTAGAAATTAGTCAGTAGTCCTCGTCAAATGGTCTTAAGCTTAATCCCACCAAATGTCAGGTGGTTAATTTCACTTTCAGACGCAAGCGCGACTTACGTAAACTGGTTAGTTCTTACGGTTCCACTATCATAGATGGCACTGAAGTTGAAACTAAATCGAATGTTAAATACCTTGGTTTGTGTATTTCCTTTGATCTTTCTTGGTCTTCCCACATCAAGTTAGTTTGCAGAAAGGTATTTTGTTTGACGTTCTGCGTGAGGAAGTTAAGATAATTTGGTATCATTCCGTCACTACTGTTACGTTTTTTAGTTCTTGCATTCTGCCTACACTATTTTCACTGTTCCCCCTTACTCTCTCCCAGGCTACTTAAGAAAGACATTGTTGCACTGCTAAGGAGACAGTATAAGCCGTCAGTAGGGCGAGTAGGGTGTTGCTAAACCAACTCGTTAATACTACTATAGACAGACAAATGGACTCCTGCAAAAAATTAAAAAAAATATTATCTTGTCAAACTTTGAGCCTCCTCTCTATGTACAACTCTCTCCTTGTATCTCATCGGGAAGAACTAGAAGCAACTAGAGAAGACTGTATGTTCGAACGACTAAGTTCAACAACTCGACAATGCCTTGTTTATCAAACATTTTATGTGATGGGAAGAGTGTAAGACAGGAAACTACCAACTTACTGCGGAAGTCTAGGTAAACGGCCCCATTTTTTTTCTATTGTCACATTGTTGTTAGTATTTTCATCTAATTTAATTTTCAATTCATTTTCCTGTTGAACAATATTATCAATGTACATGCCCTTTTTTAATTATCATTTCTGTAACGGGAAAGTTTGATGCATTACACGCTGAAAATTCCATGTTTGTACCGAAAGTACTGTTTAGAACAAGCCGATTATTACTACTATTATTATTGTTATTTACACATGCTTTTGGTTTTTGTATTTTATTGATCTTAACAAACATCAGCACTGTTGTCGATAGCAATTACTTGGTGAATATTACGTATATTACGTATCCAGATGAGGAAGTTGTCAAAAACGATATTCTTTGCTCAGTATCTTCTTATTTTATCTTCTAAACGTTTAAATAGGAAATTCGGCTATTTCTTGTGAACTGTGTTGTAGACTGTCATTTGATTCGTACACTACTCAACTTTCAGCGCTCATTATAAATGTACACTGAATACGCATGGATGACTAACACATGCCTATCTGTCCAACTGTATTCACTGTATACACTATCTACATATTAACACAACTTTGGTTTCAGACTAATGTTTAATGCTTGATCTCTGTCACTGTAATATTGTTGGTTTTACCACATTGTACTGTGAGTTTGTTATTGTAACTGAATTAGTGTTATGCATCCATGGTTTGTTTTCTAATTTTCTTGAATTAATTCTAATGAATTTCAGAATTCGGCAGGTGTTTGTTTTTTAATTGCAAGCGTAATTTTATTGGAAATGCTTTCTACCAGCTCAGAGTGTGCATTATTTATTTCATTATTCATGATAATAATGAATGTATCTTGATAATTACAAGCTCCATGAAGGAAGGCTGACTGTAGACAACACGTTTTCCAATTGACTCAAAAGACTTTAGATTATAAGCCAACTAGTATTTGGACACATTGATTCTAATCTGTTTGAATAACCTAGTAAAGTGAAGTGTCAGTTCATTTCAGTCTGAGATAAGACAGCCAAATTTACTTTAATCTTCATTCACTATCCACCGTCAAATAGGTGTGTACATAATTGTCTACATGCGCAGATATTATAGAGTTCATCTAGCATCTTTTGACAGCTAGTTTATGTTCTTGGTTTCGGAGTCGAATTGGGCGCTCATTAAAGTGATTTTTTTAAAAACATTATATTGATCATGTTTTGTTTTGCTCTTGGGTAAATAAGTGATTTCTTTTGGTCAGCATAGTATTGAACTAAGTGATTGAGTTAGTTCTGTTATTCTAGCTGTGATGTTAGCAGAAATATTCTGGTGAATTTTCTCGTAGTTTCTGAGATCACTGTCATGCTAGCAGTTTGATTCAAGTTCCCACGGCTTTGTTGGTGAAATTGTGTCCATTTTTTCCTGAAGACAGAGTTATGTATTTCTCTTGTATTCTCTCTCTTCAAAACTGGAGTGCTGCAGATATCTTGTTCTTATATAGAGTATTGCGTTCAATTATCATCATTGCATTTATATTACGTCTAGTCAACTGGTTATTGTTTGTGAGACTGGAGTTTTCTCATTGCATTCATTCATAAGCGTAACGCTGAACACACACACATACAGTTTAAGCGTGGTCACAATTCGAGGAAACTATTTGTCAACATAATCGTTGTCAGACTGACTGACTGTGCCCAATGTATGATTATCACTTTGACTTCAAACTTGCTTATAAATGGTTGTGACAATATACTACCGTGCATCAGTGGCACAGCGGTAGAATGCTCGCCAACTGCGCATGTGGTTCGGGGTTCGATCCCCGGCCGACGCACTCCTTTACCTCGCAAAGCCAGTAATAAGACTGGTAAAGAGGGAAGGTTGGGGCATGAGGCTAGCGATTGCATCCTGTGAAAATAATCACCACTGTTACAGAAACTTCAAGCCTCTAGCTTGGACCCCTATGTTCCACTGGGAACGTAAAGATATATATATATATATATATATATATATATAGCCGACTACTGCGACTGTAGCGTGTGCTACTGGTAAGTTTAATAAGTAGTATATAGATGCGGACAAATGTGTATATCATCTATAAGAAGGTTGAATGGGATGGGGGGAGAGAAGAAATGAACAATTCTTGTAATTTGCCAATATCCCCACATCGAGGTACCAGTAAATGATTCCGTTGTCAAGCTCTCTAGTGCGTTCTTTCGTGATACTACGATGGGAAAAATTTATCTGAAAATATGTCATCGACACAGCTATTGGGATGGAAATTATTAGAATTCAACTTTCTTGATAAATACTCACAAACCACCAATGTAGTGTTTTTAAATATTATCGATTTGTTAAGATTATTGAAATCACAGTTCAGGAAAGATGCCTAAGTTATTATAAGCATAAAAATGTAATAGTAAATAGAATATCAAATAAAATTGAGGAAACTTCTACGTTGATGGCCACGCTAAGGAAAGCGTTTCAATCAATGTCTTTAGGATACATAGATTAGGTTTCTGTACGTAGATTCCAACAGTCAGCCTCACCGATATGTAATAGCCGAACTCTTGAGGTAAACTTGAGCTTAGTTGGTATATGGTAGGTGACTTCGAAGGCATTGTTTACATCAGTTTCGTGTTCTGTATCTACGAGATGAGATAGAATAGAACTATGACTGGACCTTGTTTCTCCCTTACTTAAATCCAGGCAGGATGGTGTTCGGAAATTTGACGATAAACGCACCTAATTGTACGACCTATGTAATTGGCTCTACAGGAGCAGTTAAATGGATAGATGTACTTAGAAGAGGCGAAATTAGGTGGTTTATCTTTAACTCCCGAACGCAGAATAGCTGTAGTTTTGAAGATATAGCATATTTCAACAGCACTGAATGCTCTGTTCACCGCATTTCTTAGGCGTTGTGTTAATACCTCACTGATGTTATCCCTGAGAAATTGAAGTTGTAAGGACGACAAGGCCTTTTTCGGAACTGTTGGTAATTTGACCTGCCTTAACTTTTGATTCATATTCTTATCGATAAATTTTCCTGAGTAATCCTTCTCACTCAGCAACTGTTTAATAGTGTTAAACTCTTCAATAAGACATTCATTAGAACAGATTGCTCTTACTCCATGGACCAAGCATTTTATTAGATTGTGTTTGTATTTCAAAGGTACAAAGATGAAAAAATGAGTAGACTGGCCAGTTGATGTCATATGATGAAATAAATGTTACAGTTTCACTACTTTTCTTTTTTTCCTTGAAATATTTTTCTCTTTGCTTTGATATAAAAAAAGTTACTGTTTATGTGTACAGTTTCTCTATCTGTAAAATATTTCAATATATTTTCTTTCCTCTTTGCCTTTTCCTCTCAAGACGGATGCTGTACGTGAATCTCTAAAGAATGTACTGTTAGTTATGTGCACTGGGACGCATGACATCAATCCAATTTTAATTAAAAATTCTCCTCCAGGTTCCAATTCAGCTATACTCTGGGAATTGACAGAAAAACATTTGTCAACATTTTTACCTGAATTATTAGAACAATTGTTTCCAAGTAATCCACCTGAAACAATGATGACGATGATGATGACAAATGCTCCTGTGTCAGCAATGACGACAACAACAACAGCAGTAATGGATTTACCTTCGAATGTTTCAGATGAAGCTGTCCAAGTTTTATCTGATCCATGTGTAAATGAAGTTAATGAAGGTTAGAAATTAAATGTTTTCAATGCATGTCATATATATATATATATCCTATATTCATATTCAAAGTTAATCTGAACGAAGAATATTCTTTTCAATAATTTTTCCTCTTCAGCTTCTTACAGTTATAAAATATAATATTTGTTACAGTTACAGTAATAAAGGCCAGTTATGCGTCGGATACATTTTTTTAGCGTAGAATAATAGATTACTTGTGGAGTGGCAGAATAAATCGTATTTGTATGATAAACGTGCTAGACTGAATTCAATTGTGAAATTGGAGACAATGGTGGTAATAATTCATAATAGATTCGTAGAATGTGGGGTATGAAAAATAGACAAGTCAGTTCAAGGTTATAAACGGTCTAAGGTGAGTGGCAAGTACAAGGTGGTATCTATTAAAGAGGAGGAGATAGTAAGACTGCAATGAGATGTTCATCATGAAATAACCAATAAAGGGTTCGAGAATATTTACCAGCTTGGTTCAACAAGAAGGAAATTAGATATATAATAAGCTCAATCCTGTCACATTTGGTCGATACTGGACATCGCATCGACGCCAACGCAGCTTTCAAGGTTATATACCGAATTCCAAAGTCGTAATCATATACAGTTGGCTTCCTCCTCCTACACATAGTTAAAGCTCTTGCAATAAGATTGACTTAACCGGAACTTTTGTGTTCAAAAAGAACTCATCCAGGCACTGTTGCCATCTCGGCGAATTTCGGATTAATGACTCTTCTTCTCACCGAGAGTGCCTCTTCCTCTTAACCCTCTTGGTTTTTTTGTGTTATTTCTTTGCTTATTGTCACACTCATTATTATTCGCCATAGTTTATACCCTTGATTCGAACATACTTTCAATACTATCAAATTTTCCATTTATATTATCCGGATTTATTATTAATGATAATGTAGTGAGAGCTGGCTGTTAGCCAAAGATGGTAGACAGTAATTGACGTCAATGTTTATGTCCCCAATATTGGTGGTGAGAAAATGAGAACAAAGGCTTTGCGTAGGCGGATACAATTAGCATATGGATGATCTGACACAGCCACAAAGAGATGCAAGGTTAACTTTCTGTGAGAAACAACCAATCAAAAGACTATTTTCTACTAACAATAATCTACATTAATGTACATTAAAATCTATAAATATGTGTTGATTTTCCTTAATAAACGATCTGTTGCCTGGCCATTGTCTTCTGTTGTTACAACATTATCTCCTTTCTCTATATATACCTCCACCTATTTCATTTCATATATTGATTATCTGATGATGAACTTCTCATTGCAGTCTTACGATCTCCTCTTTAACATATACTAATGTGCACTAGCCACCTTACACCTTTTAAAACCTTAAAGTGACCTATCAATTTTTCCTACTCCACATAGTGTGAATCTTTTATGACTACTCACCACCATTGTCTCACATTTTACCGAAATATTTTGTAATCGATTTCCGCCTAGCACGTTTGTCCCGCAAATACTATTTATTTTGACACCCCATAATTAATCTGTTATTCTACATTAGAAAATGTATCCGTTGCATGACTGGCTATCATTATTGTAACGATAATAAATATTCTATTTTGTAATTGTAAGAGCCTGAAGAGGAGAAATTACTGAAACGAATATTCTTCATTCAGATTGACTGTTAATTCCTAATGATGTGGCAATATTTCACACTTTGATATGTATGTGTATACATATATATCTTTAAATACATTTTTACTACTTCAGTTACGCCATCCCAGCCATCTCTCTGCAAACCAACTGATGATGATGTTCCCAATTCAGATATTGTTGTGGTAGAACAGAGCGTAAATCTTCAGCATGATAAAACAGGAGAATTCTCGGATCCCTCGGCAGCAACAACAGTTTCAGTACCAGTCACGCCTGTAAATCAAAGCATATCTGCGATTCAAAATTTGTGATCTGTTGGTTATTTTCTCTTTCTCTGTGTGTGTGTGTGTGTCAGTTATCATCATTCCTTAACTTTCATGATCATTTACTTCCAGTATCCCTTGATCTATTTGATCTATTGTGTATCTTTTTTTATAGTACTATAATACACACAGAAATGCATCATTTTTGTACTGATCATCGTTACTTACCCACTTCTATATATTAATAATAATTTGTTTGTTTGACTGCATGTACGCGTGTGTCTGTGCGCGTATATTACATCAGAATAGTCTTTCATGTAAATTACCAGTCCTCTTCTGTCCCCCTAAACTCTCTCTGTGCTTGCATACAAGATTGGATGTCTGCTTCCACAACCAGCAATACTAATGAATGATAATGGAAGTTTTTTGTTGGTTCTTTTTTAAAAATAAAACTGTGTGTGGTGCTAAATTCACTCAGCTTTTCTACTCTCTTGTCTTTTCCTCCTCTCATATTCCATACTGAAGTTTATTTTTTTTTTGATGATGATGGTCAAAAACGTTTTGAACTTATCCACACTGAGGATTTTGATGGCACTCGTCTCGTCTATGAAATTTTAAACACCTTTCCAATAATAATAATAATAATAATAATAATAATAATAATAATAATAGTGTATCCATCAGTTCACATCTGTATGTATGTGCGTGTGTGCTTGTAATGTACAAATATTTTTTTTGTCTTTTTCATTCTCATTATTTTTCCCTTGTTTTCATTGTGAATTAACAATTTTCCTTAGATGAAATATATACAAGTTAAAGCAAAACTAGACTGCGTTGCTTTCTTTTTTCAATATACTAACCTGGCAGATATAAAAGGAGGCGGCGATGGATTACGATGTAAATTTTTTCAGGTAGTGTTGATTTTATGTGATTTTGTGTCACGTGTTTAGACGAATGCTGTATAATGGTGTCAGATGTGTTACACTTTTGCCTGTTTCAAATGTGTTCTGTCCTCTGTTGAGGTGTTTTCAATATCATCACACATGAAACCACCTCGCAACAGTTATTGTCTTCATCCGAAATTTTTCAGAAAGCTTCAGTTGAAGTAGGTGTTCTTTGTTGTTTTCAAGATTTTGTAGCAAAGATCAGTTGATAGGAGGTAAATAAATGGATTATTAAAAAAAAAATAAATGGAAATCACAGTGGCTATTTGAAACTGTAGAAATCCTTGAAAATGATTAATTTTTTTCCTCACCTAACCTTTTCACTCCCTACTTCTTTAAAAAAAATGTATTTTAGTTTGATAAAACTAAACTGCTAAACTAAATTGAAACTAAAGGGGACGTTTAAGTTTATAAACATGATTTGTGCCTTCGATAAAATACACTTTTCTTTTAGATTATGTGTCTGCAGTTGATGGATGCCAATATGTGAGTGGGACACTGACCTTACATTAACTTCGTGTGAAGTTTGGACTACAATGTTCATGCACCTAGAAATGGGCTACCATCTATTTACGAAATCTGACGATACAACTAAATACTACATAAGGTATAAATTGAACAATGTGTATTAAAACAATATTTGGTAAATGAAGTGAAGGAAAATTACTGTATATTACCTGAAACTTATATTTAGGGGAGAATTTATCACTTTGCATTGTCTTCTGTAGCTAAAGATGAAAAACCTGCAGTATGATTATTATTGGTTTTAATTCTCACCAGCATGTAGTAACGCCTCAAGGCATTGAGTTCCTCGTTCACTTGATTTCTCGCCTAGCAAGTGATGATTCACTAATAGAAACTAATACAACTTAGCTCCCTCTCACTTGATGGTTCCACTTCACAGGCAGATTACCTTACTTGCAACTACGCTTAGCCTATCGTAGTCTCTTAGTCAGTATCTGTTCCATATTTCCATGACACGGAAGTTGATGTCTCTAGGTGGTAACAGCTTCCTAGACGCGTTGTTAACTAATGCTAGAAATGTTTACGTGTTTGATGCATGCAACATAAAGTTAGTTGTAATTTAGCACACGTGGTCACTAACATAATCTGACGTCCTTTAGGTTAACTTCACCTGATTGATTCACTTTTCTTAAATGGCATATACCACCAAAGATAACAAAATCTTTTATACAAAAGAACTTGCGTTTTTTTATTACTTCATTATTCATTCACTGCCTTCTAAATTGAACATAAGGCTTCAGATGCAAATGTGTTCATTCCACTCGGTTCTCTGCAATCACTTCTAACTGACTCCATGACTACCCTCTTCACACAGTCTTCATGATACACTACACCCCAAACTTCCACTTCTCATTCAGGTTCCACTCAAGGGCGTGCTTAGCATATTACGTCATTCGATGGTCCCTTCAGTGTGAGTTAGTCCAATCCACTTATTTCATTCTGCATTTTTATCTCTCAGTGGATTCCTTGTTGCTCACCTCCTTTCTGGTTCGCAATCTGAATTTCATTATCGAGCTATTCTAGTTGTTGATGGCAGTCTGTAACCTATTGGAAATGCTTTTCGACACGCCGACCAGGTGTTTAAACTAAATAGAAGCACTAACGTAACATTCATGTTACTATGTGTCGGATCTCCGTCTTTGTAATAGGTTCGGTAGATTTCCTTACTGTATTCAGAGTAGTGAAGGTTTGTCTTTGTAGCGAAATAATTGCTTGGCAATTCCCTGACGAACGACCGATTTACAATATTGATACATTTTCAATTCTGTAATAATTATCGTTTTGTTTAGAGAAATCTGTTATTGTTGTTGTGTAGTACCACAGATTTTATCACATCGAAGTGTGTTTTCGATATAACTGGGAATAATGTTGGACTCTGTGTGACTTGGGGAAGTTGTGCAAGTTTTTTAGAGAAGAATGCAACAACTGGTGGCCTACATTTAGACCACCACAATACTTCGATCTTCGTCATTACAGTCTTGCTTTCGTTATAACGATGGTCATATGATAGGGTACCTTCATCAAGGCTGTCTGCATATTTATATGTATATACATAGAGCAATTGCTTCTCTTCATTAATTTCGACAAAACAATAAGAAGACTTAATTAATCTGAATCGTGTAATGTACTTATTTGTGTAACACATTCCAGAGTCATTCTGATCACACACGTACTTGTCCTAGGCATTTCTATAGAAGGCAACAAATCATAAATGATTACTCTAAAGGTGAATTTGTTTACAGGTCAAGGTTACAGATACGAAGTGGGAAGATGACGTAAGAATATGTGACAAGAAAATGAAAAATTGAATTGGCAGAAGTTAGAATTCAAGGACGATTGGATCGGGTCCCAGAGGTTCAATGGTCTACGAGCTTGCCTTGTAACCAGAAGGTCCTGGGTGCGTACTGATGAAGAGTTGCAAACTACGGCGAAACAGCTGTCCAGTACTCCCAGGTTTTCCAATGGTTCTCTAACTAATGTCAGCTCATGATGAAATCCTCCATGCAATCAAATGAAATCCCTATAAAACCAATACTTGACAATGAAAAAAGGTGAAGGTGAACCTTGGTTCTAAAGTTTGATTGTCAAGGCAAGTGCATAGATATTGACAAATAGCTTCTGAACATATGAACCGGGATGAAGCCTTTTTATGACTAAGGCTTCAACAAATCTAAGTATTTGCCCCAGACTTGTTTTATCTGTGTGTTTAAAGGTGATATTAATTAAATTAATAATCCCCAATGAGGCATAAAAACAAAGAATTCAGTGAAAAAAATTCTCTTTCCTACGATTTCATTTTCATAGCTGTACCATTGAATATATATTTATTCAGAACAAAATATTTAGAGCGAACAATTGTTTTCAATAAATTCTTCTTCAGGCTCTACAATTATAAATCCATTAATTTAAGCATACAACAGCCAAGTCAGTAAAGGCAAATTAGAATCATATCAGAAAGTATATTGTGGAACAAGTATAAGATGGGATGGAACAATAGTCAGATAGTTTTTTAATATGCATGGTCAATAAGAACATGGGACAAAATCAGATGAAGTAATTTAATTTAATGATGTGTGTGTATATATAAATATAGTCAACAGAAAATACAGGTTTCGAGAGTGAGTGTAATCAGGGTGTGTGAGACAATATGAAAATAAACCAACGAATGGGGCGGACTAGACATAAGTTCAAGGTTGAAAATAACGACAATAAGAATGATTGTAAAATAATAACGATGATATGGTGTAAAATTACAAGCACTATTGGTGAATGACTGTCAAATAATAATAATGAATATAATGAAGTGGAATGAACAGGATTTTGTAAATACGATAGCAAGTTAGAAAAGCACTACTTAAACCTAAGGTAATAAAATCATAAGAAAGGTCATGAAATTATAAAATTCGAAAATGAACGTTTGCCAATGAAACAGAGGTATAGAAGAAGAAGAAAAGAAAATTGTGAAAGGAATTTATAGTGTTAATGGAGGATTTGTTGGCTTTATTGAAGGCCAAGGTAAACATAGTGGTTGAACATACTTCTTCTGTATGCAATCGGATTGCTATCGTATTTAGAAAATCCTGTTCATTCCACTTCATTATATTCATTATTATTATTTGACAATCATTTACCAATAGTGCTTGTAATTTTACACCATATCATCGTTATTATTTTACAGTCATTCTTATTGTCGTTATTTTCAACCTTGAACTTATGTCTAGTCCGCCCCATTCGTTGGTTTATTTTCATATTGTCTCACACACCCTGATTACACTCACTCTCGAAACCTGTGTTTTCTGTTGACTATATTTATATATACACACACATCATTAAATTAAATTACTTCATCTCATTTTGTCCCATGTTCTTATTGACCATGCATATTAAAAAACTATCTGACTATTGTTCCATCCCATCTTAAACTTGTTCCATAATACACTTTCTGATATGATTCTAATTTGCCTTTACTGACTTGGCTGTTGTATGCTTAAATTAATGGATTTATAATTGTAGAGCCTGAAGAAGAATTTATTGAAAACAATTGTTCGCTCTAAATATTTTGTTCTGAATATATATATATATATATATATATATATATATATATATATATATAAATTACCATAGACAACATCAATCAGTTTTCTTGTGTTTGTGTGTGTGTCTTAAAGTTTGATAGTGAGTGGAAATACTAAAGTGCTACAATATCAAGTATAATAATAATAATAACAATAGTAATTTACTTTATTCCAAAAACAGTACTTATAATACAGAGTGGAATTCTCAGCATTTGTCACAATATTGCATCTGATTTACTCAAAATGTACATAAAATTAAAAATTAAAACGAAAATTAACCGTAGGAATTTGTCCACATTTACGATATGAAGTCAAAAATATTCGAAGCACGAAGTGAGATTATTAAATATAATAATAATAATAATAATAACAGTGAGTTTGTTTCAAACGGTATTGTCGGTTCAGTTTGGAAACTTTAGCATGTTATAGATTATTGGATCTAATGTTCTGTTTATATAGTATAGTGAGGGGAAACACAAAATTAACAGTTATAATACAGCTTAAATTATATATGGATCGAACCTTGAACCATGTGCATGGTCGGCGAGAATCCTAACCACTTTGCCACCGACGCAGAAAGCGCTCCGGTGCCGGGAATCGAACCCGGGCCACCTGGGTGAGAGCCAGGAATCCTAACCACTTTACATGTTGAATTAATTAATAATTGTTAACAAATATGTCGACATATTTATTAGAGTAGAGCAAGATATGAGGATCTAATTCAAAAGTAAATATTTCTTCACTCAAACCTTTTGCCTTCTAAATGTCTAAATAAGGACTTTTTCTGTACTGAAATTATGGGTTAGTTTTATATGTTATTTTCATTTACTTTACAAACACGAGAGAACCAGGCAGGCTTTAGACCAGGAAGAGGGTGTATTGATCATATCTTCACCCTTCAACAGATTCTGGAACATAGACATACTTACCATCGGCGTCCAACAATCGTTATATTTCTTGACCTAAAGGCGGTATTCGATTCTGTCGGCCTAGAGGTACTTTGGCGATGTTGGGCTCTGAAAGGAATACTCAGAAAATACATTACACTGATCAAGGCATTCTACTCGAATTCATGCAGTCAGCCAGGTGAGAGCTTACGGCGAGTTGTCATGTGAAGTGGTGACAACTAGTGGTGTCCGACAGCGATACCCACTATCTCCATTTCTATTCAATTCCATCATAGATGTACTTATGGAATTAACCCTAACTGCTGACTTCAGCGACTCAGGGATTAACTTGTTACCAGGGGATAATCTCGTTGATGTAGGATATGCAGATGAAGACGCTCATAAAATGCTGAGTCTTCTGAACACCTTGAGCTGCAATCTACGAATGTTTGGCATGTGATTCGCTCTCACTGTCAAAGGTGTAATGATTCTGCAGGACTGGAGTGGACTACATTGACTTCCAGCTTACAGATAGAGAATGAAGTGGTGGGGCGTGTTGACCATTCCATTTATTTGAGAAGTTGCATCAGCCAACGCCAGCGGGTTGATTGCCGACGAAATATCAGCATGGATACAGAAGGCTAGTTTCGCATACGCCAGTTTACGCCGTCTCTGGCATAGATGTGATATCCGACTGACTGTCGACCAAAGGATGTGTGTACTGCTCAGCAGTCCGCTTTGTCCTCCTCTATGGCTGTGAGACCTGGCCATTGAGAGTGGAAGACATGAAAAGATTAGCTGTCTTTGATCATGGGTGCGTTAAATGGTATAATAGGGTAAGCAATATTGAAGTTAGGCGTCGAGTGCTAGGTAAAGAGGAGAAATCAACAAACGAGGCCGTGAAGTTACATCGATTGAGATGGTTACGCATGCCTAGTCATCGCCTTCCTCGACGGGCAATGTTAGCTGCCAGGTTGGTAAAGAGCCAGTGGTGGTCAAACCAAAACATGACTCTTCAGTCAATGGAATCCACAACAGTTAGTTTAAGCTAGCCACATATGAACGTGTAGACTTTTGTCTGCTTGGATCCTCGGGATGGTAAACACCAGTGGCTGGAGACAATTGGTGATATGGCTGAAAATCGTTCTCAATGGCTGGCGCAGATACATCCACTTCTTGTGACTTATAATATCCAATAAAACTATATTGTCCTTCGATATTACTATTCCTTTTGCCTCATATCTCTATTTACTGTCTTTATTTTGCGTTTCTTTTAGCTTTCTTCTCTTGCTTTGTGTGCTTCATGGAGGGAATGTGGCTACTCGAACTGATGCACATCGGTGCAAAGTCCTATGTTGAAACCAGTCAGTCAGTATATTTATAAAATCTCAGCGAAATTGAAATGATTAATTCCAACGTTTTGTTTTTCAAACTGGTTCGATCTTTTTCAGGGAAATTAATCGAAATTAAAATGACAAAAGTTTGCATATAAAATGGACATCTCTTGTCTTTAAAATCTTTGTCCAGTCATATGAGGCATGAAAATATAATCAACAAAATTGTGTGAACTGTGATCAAAATGAGACCGGAGACGAACAAATATTAGCCTACTTTTGTTAAATACTGTGTACTTTTTCAACAGATGATTTTAGTGATTACGTTTGACTAAATTTCGTGGTCGTAGATAACTGAATATGGAAAAAATATATGTGTATCTGCGGTATGCAATGGTGTGTATGCGGCAGTAATTATAAATCTTTGTTAGCCTCGCCATAATATAGATATATAATTTTAGATCGAATATTATTGATAAGTGATACACGTGCATTTTTATTTACTAATCGGGAATTGTCATGCATCAGAGACGTCTGTTCAAACTTTTGGGATTCACCCATATATTGTAGGGTTTCTGCAGTCAGTCTTTCTTTATACGAACCAAAACTTTCCTGTAGAACCTTGGTCCCATAAAAGTCGGTCGTGTGTCCCGTTTCTATCGAGTACACTGCAATCGCCAATCTGTTTTCTAGCTTCTTCCAGTCTGCAGAGGTCTTTGGAACCACCTTTAGACATTGTTTATGCTCTTTCACTCTTATATTTACCTGTCTGCAAGTTTCTCCTACATATAAGGCGTCAGCATCCCCACAATTGATCTGGTACACACACAATTCTGTTGGTCGTCTTCTATTTTATTTTAATGATTATTCATGCTTTTTCTCACGTGTAGGACACAGAAAATAATTCTTTTGACCGCCATTGAAGTTCAACTGTTTTGATGAACACAGATAACCCCTGACATTTCATATTAAACGACAAAAATTTTCGCTCCGTTTAAATTAGGTATATTATTAAAACATCAAAATACTGGATAAAATGATAACTAGAAATTAACAGAATGACAGCACGAAAGAAAGAAAGAAAGATCCAGGCAAGAAAATATTCTCAGAGAAAGTTTAGAAAAACAAAAACAAATTTTAATCACTCTTTTGTATCTAGCAAACATGACAAGTGATCATCAATTGTATTTTATTATAAAGAGAATTTAATAATACTTCTTGTGTTATTTAACTTCTACGAAATTGCGTTAATTCACCATAACATTGTTGCCGGATTATTGGGTTGAAATGTTTCAATTCATTGTATTCGCTTTCAGTTTGAATTTTTTCACTGATTTTGTCTTAATAATAAAATAGATGATTGCACCAATTGCTGCTAATAGTAGAAGCGCTGCAAATACTATCAAGGCAATAGTTCCAGGATGTACTAAAATATATACGCATATAAAGAAGTAAGAAAGAAAAAGCAATCATCAAATATAGAAATAGTAATTCTATTGTATAAAAATACAATTTGCTGCTTAATCAGCTCAATTTTGATAGGTCTTACTTATCACTTAATTTCAAGATACCGCCAAACACTTATTAACATTAGTGTTTGGTAGAAAATGCATGAAACTACATACTCCTCCTCCTCCTCCTCCTCCTCCTCCTACTACTACTACTACTGATATATTAAGATGAGTAGTTGCGTACCACTGACATCAATGGGTAGTACTTGCTCGCCGTCTCGAAGTTAAACACCCGCCTACCAACTGACCGGCCGCTTCACTCATTCAGAATCGAGCTTATCAGTGGTGTGCGTGGTTTTACTCACCTCTGGTGGTCGAATCAGTTCAAATCATCCAAATTCTGGCTGCCTACTTGAGTGAAGTGGTTTTACCCTAAATCAAATTCACAATTTCCAAGTTTGTTATGGTGAAATTTCACCTCCAAGTGTAGAAATTCAGAATTAATTTGTAAATTGTGAGTTCGATTTGGTAGACGATGTCTGTAAGATTAGGATAAATACTACTGATTTCGTATATGTGTAACAACAGAAGATAAGGGCCAGGCAACAGATATTTTTATATTTTTATGTACATGATTATTCGTTATTTTAGCGTTTTCTGATTGGTTGTTTTCTCACTGCAAGTTAATCTGTCATCTCTTTGTAGCCGTTTCTTTAAAGGTCAGATCATATATGTGCTAATCGTATCCGTCCACGCAAAGTCTTTATTTTTTATTTTTTATTACAGCTTGATGCCACACAGTATTTTTCGTACAAGTTTGGGATTTTCACCATGTGATATCGGTAGCCCAAATTTTACAGGCCAACTATTGATACCAGGTGTGCGTCGGCCGTGGATCGAACCCCGGACCATGTGCATGGTTGGCGACAGTCCTAACCGCTGTTTTTCTCATGACCAAGTAAACATTGACGTAAATTGCTGTCTACCGATTTTAGCTAGCAGACAGCTCTCACCACATATGTATTACTTCTGCAATAGGTATCATTGCAACTAAATTTCAGTTTCACACGCTAACGTTACTTTCGAGTGTAAATAAAATTCTTTCTCCAGTTTTGAGGGTAAACACTGAAAAATGCATAAAAATATCTTAACCTAACTCTACTCATATGTCACTGTAATGTAGGTGAATATATTTTCAAATAGGCTGAATGACACGACCAAATTTAGTGTAGCAGATTACAGCAGTTTCACAAGAATAACTAAATGATAGAGATTTCCTAAATGGGAACATCTCTATAGAAATGTAATGTGTCTGGAACTGTGAGCACACCAATATTGTTCAGAGGATCAATGTATCTATCATTCAGTTGACAGCATATTCGTAAAAATCATTGGTAACCTTTTTTTAAGACAGTGAACAGTTAGATAAAGACTGACAAAAAGTAGTTTTAGTTAGCAGTAAAGTATTTCTGATAGTAAACTGGTTTCATTAAAAACCTAGTTTATTCTCTAAAAGATTTTGTTGGTCCCTTCACTTCGGATAAACAACACTGAAAAAATATCCAGCAGGGGAAATTTGTCATTCTGAGAACTAACATTCCTCATCTTAGCCTGAAATGAGATTCTACGGGCACAACTTAGAATGAGACAGGGGTCAGTGTTTCTTCTTTCTCAGTTGTCTTGTCAACCCGTATCGATTCGTATAAAATGTATAGCTAAAAACCGATAGTTCTCCTCTTCAATAAAAATTAATGTAATGCGCTTTAGTGACCTCTTGAACAAAATTTCCGAATTTCTGACAAGAAGTTGGAATTGGTGGTACGTTAAAAGATCGTGATTAATTTGCAGTCATGATGAATATCATTCGTTATCTATCCTGACCTGAGGGAGTGAGAGGCCGAAGATACGCTGGACCAATAATAAGACTCTAGAAGACCTGAATTTCACAGATGATTTATGTTTAATACAACACAAACTCGAAGGCTTCCAGGCGAAAACCAACAAACTGGCTGAAGAGCATGGCAATGACGACAGGATTCCGGGTGAAATTAGAGATGATGGAAGAGATAAAGATAACCAACCAACCAACCGACAGCAACAACAACCAACACTAATCACCACCAACGGGAGATATGTGACAGAAGTTACTTCCCGGCTTCACTAATCTAGGAAGCATTGTTTCAACCACAGGTGTTCGGAACGGATGAAGACATCAAAGTTAGTCGAAATCGGAAAGGCAAGATACGCCTTCGGTGAGGGAGTTATACGGAGAAGATCGTGCTAGGAGGAGAAGGAGATGAGAAATTATGGGTAATCATGGACGCAACTGAAGAGGATAGCATAAAATAGAACAAAGTGATGTGTTGTAGAAACCCTGTGTTCCACTCGAAATCCAAGGGAATAATAATAAATAATATGATCTATCCTGAGTTGACAGAAACTGATAAATAAAGACGGTTGAATTCCAAACCAGTGGTTTTATGGTCCTGTTCTCTTAAGGTGATCGTGAAATCTTGCTAAATCTTCGTGAAACAGGCGGAAATAGACTTCCAGTAATCACCGCTGTAGGTTGGTTCACCGTTTGTAGTGAAGCATTTTTTTGTGGAAATCAAGTTAAACCTGAAAATCTCTTCAACATGTGTACTGCTTAGCTCAGTACTTTATGGATTCTAAAAATCCGTTATTTCATAGTGCTTCAGAGAAAAGTCCGCTTTATGTCAGACTAATCGTTAAAAAGTTGCTCCAGAAGTACAGTTCTAGTTACTTTGTTGAATATTTGCTTTACGAGTAAACAGAAATTTTCCCTACCCGGTTAAATCTATGCCCATTTAAAAAAAATTAACTACAGCTATGGAAGAAGTTCAATTGGACAAACTATGAGTGGCACCTCTAGACGTGTGAAAAACAGCCTGTGGATATGGTAGAAATGATTCACACAGACCAAATACATGCAAATAACCTCACTCTGAATTTGGAAGTCGCGATTGTGCTTAGAGAAAAAGGGATTCGGTCATACAGCCACCCATCAAACAGTTATGTAGTAACTAAGTGATATAGGTGTGTTAATTTTTGGTTGTTTTGACGTATACAGTTATCATGGAATACAACCTACTTTCCTTTTTGTTTTTTTTTCTCACTTTTTATGTAATCAACTCTAAGTACATTTTGCCTAATATGTTCATCTTAAGACGATTATTTGTTTTGATTTCACAGTTCTTGTGTCTATTTATTTATGCAACTGCTGATAGCTAGGTGAAATACCCTCATACTAATTCATGTAGAGTTACGCATGCTGAGCCATCGTGTTCTTCGATGAACAATGTTAAATAAACTGGAATTATGTTATGAAGGAGTTAAGAGTAGGTGGACCAAAGTACGTCACCAATTCACGAAGCCCTTGACCGCCAGATCAAGCCCCATTAATCGGTGTAGACTGACCGACTTGGGTCCTGGAGATGCTAACAACCAGTGGTTGAAGATTTTTGATGATATGCATCGAAATCATTTCCAATGATGTAGATATACTCGCTGTTTGTGACCACTCAGATACATTAAAATGCTGATTATTCTCTGATAAATCGCCTGTACATTTCCATCTGTTGTATTTCTTAGTAATAATAATAACAACAGCTTCAGTAGGGGCAATATGTTAACAGGTAGTAGAAGATTTTCAACGTATTTAAATTGTAAAACATCTACTCTTCGTACAGGATCTTCAAGTAAAATGGTACTTGGTAGTACATCGTGTGATACTGTGTTGTTCCATCTGAAGCAATATCCATATCTTCACGATATGTTTTTACCTCATTTCGGTTGAGAAGTGCTCTTCATTACAAAAAAAAACTAAAATTGTGTTAGTTTATGTAGCCACCCAAAAACACAGTCGCATGATTCAGAAGTGGAGAAGAGTTTATGCATCATTCATTATACTGGATGGAAATTTAAGTAGCCCAGACTTTTATCATATATGTAATTTAATGAAATATTGCAACTTGTACTTCTGCATTTTTGTGCAAAGTTTCTCGTTGAAGATTCAATTCACAGATTAGACTTGACTAAAAAGATTCAATACTCACATGAACAGTTTTTCCCAGGATCGGATGGATTTGCATCCTGCCACATTGGATCACATATACATGTTACACCGTTCTCAGTATTTCGACAGGATGCATGCTGTCCACAAACTAGTTGAATATTTTGACATGTAATAGCTGGTGAAGCACCTGAAATATAAAATAGCGAAATGTTGACTGATTACCATTCAGTTACAGTTTTTATATATAGTCGTTTGGGCTGTGAATAATGACAGCAGAAAAATCAGTGTTGAAAAACCTTCGTGTAGTAATTAATATTTTGTTTACATTTTAACGGAATTACTAACATACATACTTGTGAGATGTGAAAAATTAGTTTTCCCATGCTGTTATTCAAGGTAGAATCAGCTTTCCCATACGTGAGTGAGTTCAAAATGAGCAGTCATTTACTAAAACTTTGTGTTTACTCGACTGTTGATTCCTATCTCAGTAATTTTCTCTTGTACAAACGTCTTTTTAGAAAAAAATAAATTATGGCTTAATAAAATGAGCTTTTCAATTTTCTGCATCAATTGATGTGAGATTCTGCAGTTGGGTCAATCAGGTCTAAATGTTTAACAAACTTTAAAGTCCACATTGTTAATCGTTCACTGTTTCTACATATTAATTGTTATGAACTGAATGATGGTATGAACAAATGGTTAGCTTATATATGTCTACAGTCTTTACACTAATCTATCAATCAGTATGTCTCTAGAGGCAGTAAGTTATCAAGTTATCAGTTCATCCCTTGACTACGTATTCATGATGAAAACGAAAGCACAACAGTAGAAGAACAGATTACACGAGGAGTTAAGCAATACTGGAATAAAACATTTTATAAGTAAACGTATAGAAATGCCGATAATGAATAACTCGGAAAATGCGATTTTAGGCGCTTAGGAACAAACACTTTAAATTATGGTGAAAACATCTAAGTGATACATTTTTACGGTCTTGACGTCAAATCATTTTTTTTACTTCGGTTTTGTTTTACTAGTAAATTCATTGGTCGACATAATCTACTTTAGATATTATTTAAAATGAGCGTGTGTGTGTGTATGTGAACACTATGGAGATACCTTAGTCTATGGGAAACTCAAACAATCTAAGAACCGACAGTTGGATTTTAAGACAACATTCCATCTTCCGTTAGTTAAAACAAGCTCAGCAAAGAAACAGGGAATTATATTTAACTAATTAAAATCAGCAGACAGAATTAGAACATGAAAAAAACCTTCTTGTTCATAGATTACCTTAATATCTCCACTAAATAATAAAAACAGTTGAAAACAAAGGTTAGTCTACGAGTAAGTATGACGAAGACACTTAATAAAGTACACATCGATTACACTTCAAGAAACATGGAAGGAAGAAACTTCAGAAAAGATTGTTAGAAATCGTGGATTAAATTGGGAATTACACTGTCGAAAAAAGATCTTATCCAGTCTATAAAACAAGCTGATTTAGTTTATCCAACTCTAACGATTAAATGTGAACTGAAAGTGGTCGGAGCGGACATTATGGTTCTTTCTGTTCTCTAGTAATTATGACACACTAAACTATAGGAAGCTTCTTCCATTCCTTTGCATTCCGACAGGAACATAGAAGTTCACAGTTGGTTTTTTTCTAGAGTGGAGGTGCTAGTTTAACAAAAACCCTTTTAATCTCCAGGTGTACTGCTAGCCAGTATACTAGGCGAGATTTAAGAGTGTATCTGCCGAGAATCGAAACCAAGACTACATGGGTGGCTGGCAACCCCTCTACCATTGAATCATTGACATATATGAAGTTCTAGGTGACCTAAATTTTATGTTTGGTAGTTGTTAAAGAGCTCGTCTTACTTCGTGTTATTCAAATGTGTATGAGTCTGCAGTGAAGTCACCTATTTTGCTGGAAAAGTATTCAGATTACAACCATGAAAGTTGACTGAAGATGCATATTGGCCATGGCATATCAATAAGTTTACTACTCTTATCCTGGATACTGAGCAAATGTGCTTCGTGATCACTAAGATGAAAGGATCCAACATTCTGAAACTGAGAAGGCAATATCAGAATCCGAAAAGCCTAGAAAATCCCTCTAACGAGTTTTTAGACAGATTTATGACAAGTCATTTATAGTGTACACATTATACTTTTAAACTTTATTTATGAAAATTTTACTTACGTGTTGCTTCTATGTTGTTTAGTTGTATGCCGGCTGTATTATTAAGTTGACTATAACCTTGAGTTAGTAGTTCAGAGAATTGTGTTTGACTCATCTGAGATGCTGATAGAGTCTGCAGTTCCACTGCTGTACTGCCTTGAACTCCAAAACCTGTACTACTACCATTATTATTAATACTGCTACTGATTTGTCTTTTTACACGAGTAAATAAAGGGACTTTTATGAATACAACTTTTGCACATTTAGCACCTTGAAAAATTAAGGGATTTGCATTTGATAAACTGAGTGTGATCTAGAATGAAATAAAAAAGGAAATAACTTCATTTTATGCATTATGCAATAAAAGTTTTGAAATAATCACAGTTAATTATGTCCAAAATATAACTGTTCCCCAGAAAAGCCTTTGATGATTTTACTTGTTCTTATGTTGATGTCCACTGTCATTTGGTGTTATTTCACAGCTGACAAATTCTCATTGTTTAAAATGATTAATAAAGACGTGTTAACATTTTGAAATAATAGAGATAGATAGATTTGTAACTCTGGGGGAAGATTTGAAATTAGTTGTGTTCTCTGAGTTGCATGGTTGATTCAACTGTAAAGCTTTCGTCGTCCTTCTAGACAACATCTTCAGCTCAAGTTTTAGTATGCGGTCTAGGACGACGAAAGCTCCACAATTAAATCAGAGAACACCAAAGTGTTAACATTCTTGGTAGCTTTTAATAAGATTATGGAATTTCAGAGTAGAATTATTCAGCACAAGAAGTTATAATAAAAATTGGGTGTTTATTATTCTGTTTGTTTCATTTGGCATCTATAGAGTTATATTTATATATTTTTTCATCAAAGAAAATGAACTGGGAAGTGTGGAGATATTTGTCATCAGCTGTTATATGCACCTAATTTTGCCTGAAACCTTAAAATAACTATCTTAAGGAGTCATCACGCGCTGATGTTGCTAGCCTTTTGTTTTTCCCTGTTCGGATTGCTGAGTTCCTACTGTCTGTCAATACTTTTAATGCACCACTGATTTGCTCCCTTTTCAAGGTCATTATAACTGTATATATACAGAGTTTCTGTATAGCATTTTGATTGTTGTTTGAGACAGTAATCCTTACAAACCAAACTATAGAAAAGCTCTCTTATCAACGTCCACTCTTTTCTTTTGTCTCTGCGTGCCAGCGGTGTCATTGTTGTTATTGCCGACGTGCTATTAGGACGGATTATTCGGCGCACTAAAGTGGTATTCGTTCATAGTCTAGTAGTTCGTAGTTCCGGTCATAACATCGGCTTGAGTGCTCTAATTTCAAGTAATGGTTAATTGGTTTGGATTCCGATTCACCTTCTCGAAACTTGGCAATATGTTAGTCTCTTTATGGGTTAAACAATATGTGTGGTTCATTGCTCAGTACACGAGTAGTAGTAGTAGTAAAAATGCTGAGAATTCCATTCTGTATCACATGTACTGTTTTGGAATAAAGCAAATTATTATTATTATTCTTTGACAATTCAGTCATAATATAACATAAGAGAGTATAAAAAGCTTTAGATACATACCGTGCTGCAGAATTGTGATGCCAGTGCAATGTAGGCAACTGATAAATAGTCATTATAGTCGTCAGACCATGGGAGACTTCCATTACCCTGTGAATTATATAAGACCGCATTGACTGTGAAAAGAGTTTGAACTATAGGCGGAGAGATAAAGAAAAAAAGCATTCAATAAACAGTTGGTCTTTGAAGATTACATAACATAACAAATAAGTAAATAATTTACACTGAGGAGGAAACTGTTCTATTATATAAACGAAGAATCATCTGAAATTCACTTTTTTTCCTTGAAATTTACAATGATTAGGTTTCTACTAGATACTTAGTAGTCGTACAAGTTTAGCCTATGATTGTTGAAGTCATTAGTTAAACAGCTAGAAATCTAAATAAGTAAAAACATACCATGTGAATAAGTCAATTTATAGCCGAGTTTTTAACGATTCAACTGTCACTATCTTCTGCTGAATTGCAAAGAAAAAAACCTAGATGAAGAAATATTCAAGGGTTTTGACCAAGACAGTTTTATGCTTTCTATTTAGTTCAGTGTAAACCATTTTGTTCAATCAACCAAACAGAATTAAATGCTACTATTATTGATAACTGCGAGTGTTAATGCCAATCTTCTGTCGATAAGAGGATGGATAATTGAGACAGGAGAGGGGTATGATTGATTATGACCTCAAATTTTTGATTTTTTTGAATGTAATCCATTATTTAAGTGAAGGACAGTTTATCTACCAACACTGTTTCTACCTCTAATACTACTACTACTACTTTATGTTATATTCACATTTCTTTTTTTTGTAACTTTAGTTCTAACCGCCAACAACTTCGTTCGAGTTTTAATTCTCTAAATATTTGAACATTTAATTTCAACTTAACTTTTCATAATTTCGTGTTATTAACTAACTGGACTTATGAATAATAGATTAGCATATGTGTGTATTAAATTGAATACGGAGTAGTTATTTACGCGGATAGAAACTCATCATAAAAATTAAGGTTGCATTATGCACTTGCTTATTAGATGAAATTAGTTTTAGGTGCTGGCCGTGGGGAAATTTCATTAGTTTACAAGGTATATTTCATCGCGAAGTGAAATCAGTTAGAGTATACGGCCAGAACAAAGGAGTTATCTATGTCCGGACCAAGTTCACTTTTAACAGTATGAAAAAATTTGGGCATTGGGTATATGATATTTATTATTATAAAAGAGTTTGTATTTCCAATGAATGAAAAACAAAACGATACTGTTGTGTGTTTACTGACATTTCGCTATTTAAAGCTGCTGCTAATAGCTCTATCAATGTAGTAATGTTAGACCATAATTTACAAAATGTCAGTTTATATATAACAACTTAATCATCGTTCATCAGCCTGGGGTAATTTTTACTTTTTCAAGTTAGCCAATCGGTATAGATAACACATCCAGGTGCAAACTGTTGGATTTGATAACCGTAGAAAATTATAAAAGCATTATGTATTTACATAATGAAATCGCCAATCGTATTCGTGTTGACTTTGTCATTTCAGGGGGTGAGAGGGTTTTGTAACCAGGTTGAATTCTGTTTAATTCCATCATTCCTATTCAGACAATTTGGATCCCATTTGATATGAAGTGCTTCTGATAATAGACGTTCTTTGTGATTTCGGAAATTTTTATGGATTCTTTCAATATAATCAAAATTAACTTATTCTATAGCATGTAGACCTATGGCTGGTTTAATAATACTTTGATAAATCTATTGTTTTTAACAACAATAATAAAGGTTTGATTTTACGGGTTGATCACGGATTGATATCAGCTAGAGAACGATTGAAAATCAGGGAGTACTTGACAGCTGTTTCATCCTAGTTTTGGAATCATCGTCAGTACGCAGACAGTATGCGAACATAAGGCACAAAAACTTTCAGCGTATTCAGTTCCAAAACACTATTTTATTCATCCAGGATTTACTTGTACAGTAATAATCTGAAGTATATCCTAATTTCATTGAATTGGGAGACAGTTTATGTATAGGCCATTCGATATAAGTAGACGAATAAAACTGGTTAATTCAAATGAAATCAAGGATTTTGGTGGAAAGTAAGTTTGAGTTTTGTACCTTTGAAATATAAACGTAACCTGGTAAAGTGTTTGGTTCATAGAGCTAGGTTTATCTGTTCAGACGACTGCCTCAATGAGGAGCTTAAGATTATTAGAGAACTGCTTAGAAAAAATGGTTATCCAGATAAATTCATTGAGAAAAATATGAATTCTGCACCTAAGAGAGTCAGTATGGCAACAGTTCCGAAAAAACCAATGTTCATAAAACTGCAGTTCCTCGGTGACAACATCAGCGAAATAATAACACAGTGTCTGAAGAATGCAGTTAAAAGAGCTTATTATGCAGCAGAGTTACGTTGTCTCTTCACAACCACCCCTATTCAGCGTTCGAGAAATAAGGATAAACTACCTAAATTTGCCTCTTCTATGTGTATCTACCAGTTTGACTGCAGCTGCGGAGCCAGCTACATTGGACGTACAATTAGGCAGGTTCATCATCGTATTTCCGAACATCATCCAACATGGTTAAGCAAGGGACAAACAAGGTGTATTCGTAGCTCTATTTTAGCACACCTTGTGGATAGTGAGCATAAGGTTGACGTTAATACTGCATTTAAAATTATTTATCGCATTCCTACTAATCTTAATTTTGCTCTACGAGTTCGTCTTCTACATACAGCTGAAGCAATAGGAATCCACCTGAAGAAGCCAAACCTGTGTGTTCAGAAGAAATTTGTACAGCCACTTTCCTTACCTTGGCCATCGTTACATGAATGTATAAACCGGACTACTTCACCCCCTCCCCCTAAACCTTTAAAATTATAATTGTCCAAATTATTTTATTTTTTCTGACCACTTCATCTTTAATTACGTGTTATCCTTGTAAAATTAATTTATTCTAACCACTTCTACCTTTTAAATGTGTATTGATTTTCTTCGTTAATTATCAACCCATTGACATTTTGACACTGTTTAATTATTGTTAACAAACATATCAGTGCCACTTGATTGGTAAACTGTTGTGTATTGTAATAAAAATGCTATGTATATTAGAGTAGAGCCAGAGATGAGGATCTAATTGAAAAGTAAATATTTCTTCGCTCAATCTTTCTGTTTTCTAAATGTCTAAATGGAGATTTTTTCTATATTGAAAGTAAGTTCGGCAGCCCATTGATTAAAGCAGATCGCCTACTTTTAGCATTAAATAACGAAGCGATAGTAAAAACAGTAACGTTTTGTTTTTCATCCATTGGGAAATAAAAACTCCTTTGTAAAAGTAAGCAGCATCGCACAGCTGTTTCATCCTAGCTTGAATAGCTTCATTATTACAAATCCTTAGTCCCGTAAGGGTTTCGAAGTGAGCAAGATAATATTCAAATACTTAGTCACAGTCCATTGATCCTTGAATCCTAAACTCTGTCATTTCGTGACACATTGTCACTACAACAGAGTATTTTAAGTGAGTATCTAGTAAGTGATACAAGACTTCATTAACTCCGCCAGTAAAGACTTTCTGTCAGAACGCTTAGAAGTCCATTTTGAACATGATGCCATTAAACAGATCATATATATGAAATTATTAAGGAGGTATCATACAATAGTTAAGAATAATATGAAAAAATAAAAAAAAAATAGATACCAATAATTTTGACAGAAAAATATCTTTAGCATAAGTCTAATTATTCAGAGATATAAAAAATGAAATGAAAGAAAAGAGTCGTAGATCAGAATGTAGTTAAAAATTACTTTCATCTCCTGTTTTTAATGATAAACTGTGTTCAGTTCATCACCACACTTAGTAAAATCTCAATGGAGACTTTTCCATTTTACATTTCTCAGCATATGACAAATAAAAGAAGGAATACACGAGACATAACTATATTTTTATGTGAAAAACTCTGTTAGCGTGCAAGTCACATTCACTGGAAAGTATAGTTTGCTTTACAGTAAAATCTAATTATTCTTACTTAACAGGTTGTAGCTTACGTGATAAAATATCCAGAAGTATCTTTTTCCACTTTTCCAAATTCACTGGGACTGTTTCAGATAATTTCACGGGAGCACTTAAACCAAAAACTCACTTAGTTAACTGGTCCACTAGTTTTCTAGCCGGTCTCCAGCCTGAGAAAAGAGGACAGGTCAGACGTAAGACTAGTTATCCTACATTGGGAAATCAGTCTACTAGCTACAGGAACTTCAAAACGCAACAGAAATATAAAAATACTCATTCTCGGCTGGAATGAGAAGGACAGAGTGACGCGGGCAGGTGAAAGCCTTTGGGAAGCCAGTTAGCTAATGCATCATCTTTTCATGGAAGCAAAAACAAATACTGTAACGTTGATGTTGGGAAGGCTACACAGGTAATCAAAGAAACGAGATTTGCCCTAGGGGAGTTAAGAAACTATGAGAGCAGGTGGAATGGATGCGGACTATCCAAATTGTTAACTACAGAGTCAGTAATCTACTCCAAGGACCCAGACAACAGGCATAAGCACACTGAGGGAGTAAATATGGTAGTGTCATTGAAAGCTACCCAAATTCTTATACAATAGGAAGCAATCTCCTTTAGGATAATAAAGCACGATTCAACTCAAAAGGAATGAGAGTTTCAATTATCCAGTGATGTGCGCCTACAAACAACTCTGGATGAGAGAAAAAAGATTTCTGTAGGCAAATGCAAACAATAATGAATAACATCCTAAATGGCAACATCAAAATCTTTATGCGTTATATGGGAACAGAAAATACAAGAAGAGAACTCATCATAGGTCGGGAGGCTTTCGGAAAAAATGAACGATAACAGCTGACTCTTCTCAAACTTCTGTGCATTCAGTTATTTGGTGATTGGAGGAGACTTTTGCAAGGAGAACGATATACACAAGGTGACATGGAATTCATCTGGCGGATACACGGGAAATCTGACAGACTTCATCTCAACCTCAAGAAAGTGGAGATGAAATCCGTTGGGCATACCATCGAGAAGGGGGACAGATGTGCGAGGCACTGTCATATTCAAGGTGAGAGTCCTCCAAGCAGCTGCAGGTAGAACACAATCCAGTTTCAACACTCGGAAAATGAAGGACGGAACCA